AATAAAAGCCAACCACACATCACTTCCCCCCCTTCTATTGTTATAGCAAAGGTGATACTGGAACCATTTTTATCTCTTAGAGCAAAAATAATAAAAATTTAACAATTAAGAAACATATGTAAATTATCATAAGTCATTTTTTAATTACTTGTATATGCATGCCAATATTCACATCACTTGAGACTTTATTATTCTCCCAATGTATGGGAGACATGATACCTGTACTGAAATAATACTTTCCTGTAGCTGATAGTGCTTATGTATATTAGTTTTTATTGTTAAAAGAAAAAAAAATTAATTCCTGATGATTATATTAAATTAAAACTAGATTTTACAAGTATGAAATTTAATACAAATTGCACACTATGAACAAGACTCATCAATTAATATTTGGACATTGTGGATTTTTGAAAATATTTAAAAATACAACCTTGTAGCAGGTCAAAAATTTGGTAAGAGCCAAAACATTAACTGATACAAGAATGATTCCTGATTTTAAAATAAAAAAAAAAAGATTTTGACTAAAATACACATGAGAAATATGGATTCAGATAAAATCTAGTAAATAATTTTTGTATAGCCAAGTAATGTATCTTAGTATCTCAGAAAGATAAAAAAAAAACTGTAAAAACCATATATAAAAAGAAGATGATTGCTTCTTGTAAGTTTTGATGGTAAAAATAATAAGTAAGGTAAACCTATTTAACATTTAATTTATAATGCTTTTCTTTTAGATAAGTCTGGCACTATTTTATTAAATAGCTAAAATAAAACGGCTAAATAATCAAAAAATATTCTTAATGGAATGTATAAATACTAATCAACGATGATGATTTGGTCACTGGTTCAAACAATATCCTCTGTTAACATGTCTAACACAACAATAAACAATAGTTAGCAGAATAATTATTACTTATTACTTATAATTTATCAACAGACTGTAATTTGTAAAAACAAAGACTCTTTATCATTATGAAACAGGGGTTGTTATAACACATCATTAGAGAACAAATAAAATAGGGGTCACCATAAATTCTTAGGTGGCAATTTTGGTCTTGCAGGAAAAGGTTGGTTGTTGTTTTTTTTTTTTTTTTAAAAACACAAAAACCAAAATGTTACCCAATATTAAATAAAATGCAAGCAGGAACACTTTAGTGTTGCTTTTTTTTTCAACTTTAACAAAATTTACAAACTTTCTTTTATAATTTTGTCATAATTAAATCTGAAAAACTATGCTCATCTCTGATAAAATATAATTTTCTTAAATTCCCAAAACTGGAAAAAAATAAAAAATTTTCCCTCTCATCATCATATTATTATCTTTTATTATTTTATTGATCCCAGGCAACATACAATATTTTAAAAGACCTCATTATAAAAACAGAATAGAAGAATGGGGCCTACATGTCAAAGACATACCATCACTGATTAATGCCCCAAAAGATGTAGCATTACCGGGAGGGTGGAATCAATAATTGTCTGAACAACTTTTAGAACCATCTATCCAAATTTCAATCGATATACTCATCACATAAAAATATAAAATCATTATTTTATGAACAAGATCAAAAAACAATGTTGGTTTCTCTTATTACACATCTTCAAGACTCCAAGTATTTAATTATATTTGCATAATTTAAAAAAAAAGTTTATCAATTTCAAGAAACTTATTTCTGCCAAAACATTTTGTAAAATCTTTAACCCACTGTTTTTGCAACATAACATTTTTATATCTTCCCCAATAAAGCACAACCACTATTAACAATGATATTCCATTTTGCAGAAATGATCTGCTAGAAATGGTTACTATACACAAAACTGCTCAAAGGTTAAATTCCAATACATGATCAAAATTCAATCAATCCCGCTCTCACCAATTACATACAAGAAGACACTGTCATTGATCATTCTTTTGTTTCTGTAGCAAAATTGACAGAGATAAACAAGAAATGTCTGTACAAAAAAACAATAGTAATAAATGTCATTTACATTTTTCTTTTCAGTGTGATGAACAACTTCTAAATTATTAAAGATTATTTCACCAACTCTGCAGGTTATTAGAGTTCAGCCCTTACAGCCTCTAATCTAATGAAGGGAAATGAAATAAACTGATTAGTTATCACAATTTATTCTAAATTCAGTTAATGATCTGGTTTTATGATGTGCCACCATTAATATAGATACAATATCTTTTAGTATGGAGAAAGTTTTTTTTTATTCCCAATGAAAATGATATAGATTATTCCTTATGTATATCTGCATGGATGGAAGGAAGAAAATCTCCACTATATGTAACCAACATGAACCTTGAATACTGTTAGTTAAATTGTTTACTTAGTTGCTTAATATGAGGATTCCAATTTCCCAATATGAAATAAACAGGGAGGTTTTAATAAACTCAAGGATGTGGAGAAAATTAAACGTTACCAGCCATTAGGCACCTAATATTACCAATGTACTTTCAACTTGAAGAATTTTTTTTTTTTTTTTTTTAAATAATTTCTCCCCTGGCAAGACCATAAAGCCACCATGACAATTATTATATTACTTCAAACCATGCCAATTTCCATGAACTTTGTCTAACATTAAAAATTTAACAAAAAATGATCTTGGAAGGGGAAACAAATACATAACCATTTATGGGAAAGTAGACATGAAAGATTGAATCCAAACACAAAATTATGAATGTACATAATTCTTAAAATGTTCCTCACAAATTTGTTTGCATGCAAGCAAGAACAGTGCAGACAAATTATTTGTAAAAATAAAAATTAATGAATGTATATCAATATGATCAAAAATAAAAAATCAATTTAAGACGGAATAAAACTCATAATAGAATCATTGTAACTTTTGTTCCCAAAATTTTACATTTAAATATTTTGTTTTTTTTTAAAGATAACATTTATGAATAAAGATGAAAATTTTTTTTTGCATGTATATTTTTTTAAAATCAACACTTCAGTTTTTATATACTTACTTTCCTTGGGTATCAGATTTGGATTGTTAAACTTTAATTTGAGGAAATGTGCATTTCCCTCCCTTACATTCATATGGCAAAATGGGGGGGAACACAGTGGGGGGACATCATTGACTGATCTGTTGATGTTAGTGTCTGTCCAAATTTATAAGAAGTTTTTCAGGAAATTAAAATGTTAAATCCAATGTTATCACTTTTTCTACTATTAATGGGAATTTCCTTCCAAACTTTGTTTTGGCAAGTGGGGGGGGTCAAAATCTTAATATCATTATTTTCCCTTCTAGTTACATGTGCTATCTATTTTAGTTGTTGTTACTGTTAGAAGTCTTCAAGTGATGTAGTTTTTTTTATCAATTTATAGGTTCTGATGAAGAATTCATTCACATGAAGTCATTTTTAATCATTGAGCTGAGAAAACTGTTGTATATAGAGATGATGGTTTAGAGATTTCTGAATGAGTTAGATGCCATGCATGACATCCACATGAGAGCCTCAATCTGACAAGGCTACTTATGAACAAGATCTTAGCTTAATATTTTGGTTCTGTATTATCTTATGTTACCCCTAGCACAAAATGTGTTATAACTGATCCATACACTGAGGTATTTGAAGTGTTTAGAATTTTATTCTGAACTGTTATGAAGGGTTCAGTGTATATACCATTACTATTCTTATTCCAATTCCAAATTATAGTTTAAGTTTTTATTTCACCACATGCAAGGTGATAAAGCCACTAAGATGCAAGGTGATAGAATAAAAAAAAAAATAGAGAACACTAAAAACAGGAATTAAGGTAGTTCTACTTGGAAAACTTGATAAAAAAATTTTTTTTATATCAAACTATGAATACCTATGTTATCAACATAGCCTCCTTCTTGTCAGTATATTGGTCTCTTGCAGGAAAATAGGAGTGCTGTATTCTGTTAGATCTGTTTTTGGGATATTGTATGGAATGTTTAAGGCCTTGATATCTCTGTCTGTAAAATGCACAGAGCATAGTCTAGAAAGATTAAACAGTTTTCAGTGATGTAAACCCATGACACCTGAGAAAGGTTAAAAAAAATAAAATAAATGAATGAACAGATATCTAACAATTATTGCAATGTCACTAAAGGGATGTTGAAAAGTCCTCAGCTCAACCAATTTTTACAAAATCTGAACAAATATCACAATTATCTTTAAAATCCTTGTTTGTGCTGAGACCTTTTCAGCACTTTGTATGCATTAATTTTATCAAGTTTAAAGATATTTTTTTAAAATACTAGATATTTCAAAATGAAAGCCAATGTAAAGTATATAGTTTAAATTTATAGATTCTTTTTTTTTTAATGAGAAAAGGCCACATTAATAAAAATTTAATGCCTTTACAATCCTGTTTAATGACTTATTTGGAAATTAAGTTATTTTCCTATTTAAACAAAAACTTAACATCCTTACTTTCCTATACAAGTAAAAAGGAAGCAATTCTGCTTTTTGATTTTGATTTTTTTTTAATTGATACCATCAAAAATTAAAAATATCCAAGAACATGCAACCCCCAAAAAAAGTTTATAAAAAAAAATGTTAAAAAAAGTCATTTTCCAAGCAGAAATCAAAATAAGAACTCTTAGAAAAATGTTGGCCTTGTGCCAGACTCAGTTAACTATTAATTTCAGAATCAGTGCTTTTAAGTCAAGGAATGATCCACAACAAATCATAAGCAAAATAAGAATTAAGTGTGTGTGTGTGTATATATATATATATATATATATATATATATATATATATATATATATATGAATCAAAAGTGTTTTCTTTTTTTTTGCTGTTACAAGTAAACATTAATATTAAAAATAAGCATTTAGGCAAAACTCGTCAAAATTTAAAAAAAATAAAAAATAAATAAAATGGCTCTCGCTTTTGCAAAGATGGTTGGCGTGATGCAATGTGGTTGGCAAGTTATTACAAGAGCAGCAATAGTAACAGCAGTGTTATGAGTTAGCAGGCCAACTGTACTCCACTTCCCAGTCGGTAGTCTAGACTAGAGGTAAGATGAATAAGCTGGGATCTCCCGCCATAACACCACTTTATGGTCATCTCCACCAGTTACAATCTCACGGTTCTGAACATGCATGGTTGTTACAGCTCCTGTGAAGAAAAGTAAATCCAAAATAGCAATTTAAAAATTCAGATTGATCAGTACAAAAGCTTATGATAAACTGACACTCTTTTTATTTACAGAAATATTCTTTGTCTATAAGCTGTGTCCCTTCAGGATGTTGATCATGGCTTTCCACAATTTCTGGTCCTTTGTAGCTGTTAATAAATTATCTTTCCTAAACCTCATTTTGCCATCCATTTACTCAAGCTTGCTAGGTAGGTCATAAGTCATTTTCCTCTGTCCTTTGAGTATCAAATTTACATGCACTAGAAATTTCAACTATCTTTTCATGGTGTTAAGTATAAGTGTCCTTTTTGTTTCCATTTTCTCTAAAACTGTGTCATTGCTCATGTTTGGTCCATGGTATTAACATCGCTCTGTAGAACCACATTTCTGTTGCTTTAAGTCTTCTGCATCTGTGAGGAAATTTTCCAGCATCCAATGACATATAGGAAGACTGATATTACATAACAGTGCAATAAAAGAAATATGGATGATGCTAAAAAGAGGAGAGGGGGCTGTAATCTATAAAGATTTGTAATATTCACTGTCAAAACTAGCAAAATATGACAGCTTCTTGCATGTATACATCCCGTAACCCTTTATAAGGTCATTTTGATCTATGAAACTGTCAAAATGAGTATGGCTGGAACAAGATAATCTGATTGAACCTGTTGGTATTCAGCATTGTCCTTTTTGTAGATTGGTTGCCCTAACAAGGTTAAAGGATCTACTTTTTCTCTTCTCCTACTAGACTAGAAGGAGACGAGATAGAATTGATTCCCTGATTCCATTTCCCAAGCAGATGAATATAACTTCAACTCCAAGACATCTGCATAAATAATATGTTGATTTATAGGAAAGACACTTTGTATAATGCAATAGTTAGCAAGCTTGTCTTATGGTCCAAAACGGCTTCAAACCACAAATTCAAATACTGATATTTCAAGGTAAGCAATCCCTCTCCAATTGAAAGATTGGTGCATCATAATCTTCTTTGCATTTATTCTTCTGTCATTACAAGCTAAATAAACATTTATACATCAATTTCCAGGCTACTTAGAAGCATCCAATGAGATGTCTTGAATGGCCTGTAAGCACTCTCCAAGCAAGTCAATTCTTTTAACACTAGTCTTTATTGTGTATTGGTAGAAGCAGAACAAGACTCTACACTTGACATTTTTAACAGAAGACTGAAAAATAGACAATCTAAAAAAAAAAAAGTTTCAAAAGTTCCCACAGAGGATGCTTAAAAATCTAGTTAGTACTGAACTCCAAATTATATATAATTCCCCACCCCCCGACACACACACCTAGGAAAAAGTCTAATTTATAAATTAGACAAATAAGAGATTAACAGTAATAACTTTTATTACAGTATATTTTTATAATTAATTTACTTTTTTTTCAAAGTTATGTGATAAATGAGATGTTTTTTGTCACAGGTCTTAGCACAACCTCAAGGTTCTGTTTATCATACCCAAATTGCCAGCATCACTACTCTGGCACTCTTAAATTATTTCTAGTGTTGATTCTCAGTAACTGAAACAGTAGAAAGCAAATAAGACAAATCAGTTTCTTAAACAGTTTCTGCAGTTCTCAATGTATTAGAAAAGAAAAATTTCAAAAAATTATATAATGACCACATTCTATCAGTAAGACTTGCCTTAAATTCTGACCATTACTTTTGCAATGCATTTCTTGCCAATTCTTCAAAGTATTATATAATATGTAATAGCTCCATTCTGTCAGCAATGCATGCATTAATTAATAACAATTGACAAACGTTTTTTCTCAATTTTCAATGTGTATCAATTGTTATTATTTAGAATGCCTTTCTAATAGTAAAATTATTTGCAATATACTTCTATAATAAACATTTTGGCAATGCATTTACATGCTTCCTGACCACTGACAATCCCTTTTCCCCATTCAGTGATCATATTGGAACTGGTGCTTTAACATGATGTTACTGTAAGCACATTTCTTTCATGAATCTGATCTGTGACTTCACAAATTAACAAAATATCACTTCTGTTGAATAATGAATATAATTCCTGAAATTAAAATAGGTGTATGGTTGAACAAGATAGCTATAATTTAAAGTTAATTCCTTTATTAAAACAATATGAAATTCCTGTTGAAAAGAACTTAGCCCTTGTAAAAAAAAAAAAAAAAAAAAAAAATCATGAGAAAACATTCTGACAAACCTTGGTGTGCTTCAGGTATATGATCAACTTGACGAGAATTGAGGGGATCCCAGACACAAACACTTCCAGTACTTGTACCAAATATTAAATAGCCATCAAAATAGCACATGCATCTAAAATAAAAATAAATAGAATAAACTTTAACAAACCAATCTGATAAATTAACTAACTTAACGTCTGAGTTTCTCTTGATTACAACTTGACTCAGACTGTCAATCCTATAGCAGTGCAGATCAAAAACATGAAATACCAACTCACATCCACCTTTTACCTTAGGGAAACCTGGTAAATGCCCATCTGTTTTACTCTTAAGCAACCAAGGAAAACTTAATGGTTAGCAGAAAAACAAACCCATTCCAGGACTCCATTCCACAACCTCCCACAGTAGCTTATGCTTTTACACTAGCAGTATTGGTAACTAATTGTTAATAGCATTAAAATAAAAATGAAAGTAAATATTTGTCAAAAATTAATAATTGTTGGCAATGCATTAAAGATTTTTTTTTTCTATTCAGTGAAGATAGCTCAGACATTCGGGTGTTTATCATACCAGCCATCATGGATCTTCATGTCAGTTTCATAACAAATGCAAAATAATAAATAAAAATAATTATCAGAAGACAAAGTTGGATTCTGTAAAAAGTTATTGGTTGAAATTTTCGTTGTATAATTCAAAGCAATTAATGATCTTAACTCAGTAATGAATATTAAACAAGGAGATTATGATGAAAAATATTTGTAAAGTAAATGACTTATTAATGCACTTACAGATGATTTTTCAATCACAAAGTTCTAACTTATAACATTAAAAATAGATAATCATAAAATAATTATTTCAGTAATTATTTTATTTTTTTAAAGTGTAGTTCAAATTTTCCTCTTAAAAATAAGATTTATTTGCTGACTACTTCAGAATAGTAAAATTTTATTTCAAAATTTCATGTTAAAATTTAATGAATTCTGTTCAACTTGTATCATTCCAGCCCATGTTAAAGTTTTTTAAAAAAATATTTTATTAAAGGGAGATAAGCATAAAAAATACAAAATACATTGACTCACTTGATTTCATGTTCCATTTTCTTGTTAAAAGTTTCAATACCAGAATAAAGATCAAAGATTTTAAAGTAACTGTCAGACCCACACGTATACAATTGGGTTTTGTCTGAAAAAAAAAAAAAAAAAAAAAATTAAATTTATTGAGAAACTGATTTGGCAAGTAGAATAATTTAACAGGATTTGGTTTGTAAGCTTTCTTCATTAAACCATATCAAAAATTAAGAGATTCTATAAAATATTTTGTATGTAGTAATCTAGCCATAATAATTATCACAAATTTTACTGACAATAAATAGCAATAAATATGACTAGGTTTTATCCTGTGTGTGTAAATAAATCGTGTAATTGATTCAAAAATTGATACATGTTTGCCTTAATTTAATTTTGTGTGAGATTTTTCTGAAAACTTTTTCTGAACTGAAAATGCATTAAGTTACTTTTTCTTTTATGATAATTTATTCTAACCTGAATACATTTAAGGTTGGCTCTACTTGGCCCTGGCATATCACTGTTTCTAAGAAAAATAGAAGAAACAAGAAAACGATATGATGGAGAAAAAATGGACTTGATTTTTAGATTCAGCATGAAAAAATAGCCCAGAAACTTGTGCCCATTGTCCAACAACATTTGGGTTGAAAAAAATGTCAACTGGTCTTAGCAGTAGTCCTCATGAAGTGGATATTAAAAGAAACTACAATAAAACTATTACCTTTTAATCTCCTCATCACCCAGAAAAGTACATTTCTCAATCAACAGAAACCTTTACATTGACTTACTCAAACTGATGTCTTCATCTTGGCTGTTGTCCCCACCCACCTGATATTTGGTAATAGTGTCAAATTTTTTTAACTGAACTCTATTCAATTTTTCTATACGTACTAGAGGATATCTTGTATCAGTTAATTCATCTTTGTGATACCATCATCTAATAGACAAAAGCATTGGTTGAGTATATACAGTTTGCATGGTAGTTGGGAGTTCAATCTTGAGCAATTCAGAAAACAAAAAACGTAAAATTAAACAGTTATTAAAGACATTTTATACTGTATTCAAGAATTCTATTAGTTTACTAACATTGAAATGTCATTTTATTTATTGAACTCCAAGTATAAAAAAATTTGAGAAACTTGAGCATTATTCTGTAAAAAGGAAGCTATCCTAAGTTGCTAATGAAACCAAGGTGTCATACAAGATATCCCCCAGCATGGATGTAAATAATTGTAAAAGTCAATAAGCTTTATATTCAAGCAGGTAAAGAAATAATTTTATAAACATCATGTTTACACTTTTTTTTTTCATATGAATTCCTGAGATAAAAAGCAGTACTCTTTAGACAGTCTTTTTTTATTATAGAGAGGACAAAAAAGATTTACAGAAATCAACAACTGGTATTATATATATATATATATATATATATATATATATATATATATATATATATATATGTGTGTGTGTGTGTGTGTGTGTGTGTGTGTGTGTGTTACTGTCATCAAAAGCCAGCATTCATTACTCATTCACTGTAATGATGTTATGTAGAGTGACATAGGCAAATGCTAAAAGCATATATAGGGAGTGCATGCATGCATGCCCAAATTTCCAGGAAGCATTTTTCATTAGAGCAAATGAAAATAATTATCTTGAACAAAAAAAAAAAAAAAGTTTCACTATCTTGAATTCTACTTCTTGGTAAAACTTTCCAAAACAGAAATGGATCAGAAAACAAATTTAGTACAGGAGATAAAAAAATTCAATATAAATTTTTTCTATGCAAACACAATGAATGATGGGTGGGAAAAAAAAAAAAACGAGAGATATTGCTTATATGTCAATCTTTAAAATTCAAAATAAATAACAGAAAAGAAATATTTCTTAAAATATACTTTCAAAAACTTATGTAAATTAAATGTTACCACTTTAGTTATATAAAAAAGAAAAAAGTCTGCTCTTAAATCATTTCATATGTTTGCAGTACAGTTTGGCCTGTTTTGTTCTACTGGTGTCAAGTGGAGACACAGACAAAATTTAGCCTTACACAAATTTATAAAAGTTTAAAAAAAAAAAAAAAAAAAATGTTCAAATTTTCCTAATACTCACCTTGACTTATTATTACTGTATTCACACGTCCCCTGTGACCTACAAAGTGGGAATATAAGATGAAATAATTAAACTAATTCATTATTTGTATGATTATTATACAAGAGTTTCATGAGGGGGGGAATGCTGAAAAGTTCCGTCTGACCCAGGCAGCATAAAAAACTGTTTGATCTGATTTGTAATCGGTTCAAGTGCTTTTTCAGCAGCCTTTTATATAACACAATTGAAAAATACAAATAGCGTTTAGTGATGTTTGTCCACTGAATGATTATCAAAGATACAGAAAAATACACATTACCATCATTAAAATTAGAATACTGCATTGGAAGAATCATTCTTACATCTTTGATTATTATTCCTTAGAACATTAAACATTCGTTTACTTTATTGATTCCTATATTTCCTGCAATATAACATATCTATAATTTAGCAAGGAATATTTAGGAAAAACAAACAAAATTTAATATTTTTTGATTGATTCATTTTCTACAACTTTTCAGCACATTGCAGGTTATTTAAAGCCAGAAAATATTTTTAGATTGTAAGAATTTTTGGAGATAATAATGATTTAGTGATACAAGTCTTACAAATTGACCCATAGCTTAGGGGGAAGAGGTGAATTCATACCTTTCCTAAGGGTATTTATGCATAAGCGAATATAAAAAACCCAACTGGAATTGGAGCTTGGCTCTCCAATTAACAATTCCAAGCAATTACACCATCTGCACATCCAAGCTTACAGCCTCTGGTATTCCTAAGTGGTCACCCATCTGACCAGGCTCGATGCTGCTTACCCTTGGTGATTATATGTGAACCAGTAGTTTCAACATGTTTAATATTTTTCATTTGTAATCATACTTTAATAACTTAAACATATGCATATTGTTAAATTTTTTTTATTATACAAGTCAATGTTTTCACAGTAAAAATCTGTATTAATAATGATGTCGGTAAATTTTAGAATGTATTTATATGATAAATGTACCAGCTTATAATATCTTATTTGGTAATTTTATTAAGCAACATTAGAGTTGTTGATCATATTGTAAATACAGCGTTTTAATGGATGGCAGGTGAGATTGAGAAATGAAAGTGCCAAGTTCATTACATTCACTTACATGCAAATATCTTTGAGAAAGGTATGAATCCATCTCTTCTACCATATATGTGAATAGCAGGACAGACTGAGCCCTAGATCCTTGGTTGGCAACCAGTCTAGGAGAAGGAAAACTCTAAATTCAAAACCTGAGGAGGGTCGTTTGGAGACCTTGTGGCACACATTGTACACCAGTTCTTTATATTCAATTCTTCCAAAAAGTGTGGTTGGTTCTGCACAAACATTTACTACTATAATCAAATTATACATGCAGATAGAATGGCTGTCCAGGTTCTAAGAATACATATAGTCTACCTTCAGAAATATTGCCAGAGTATCATTGCAAAGTTGTTCCATTGAGACTGCATATATATCCCACCCATTTTTCGAAACAATGTCTATAGTTCTTTCAGGATTTCCATCAGGTGTCTTGTTATGGTCTTTTGTTATCATATCCATTGTCTGAAATCTCCTCCCAAGCCAGAAGTTAAAGGGTGTCAAATTTAGATAAGGGGTGGGACAGCATCACCCAGTCTAAGAACAATCACACAAGTTACAGTTAATATTAAAAATTGCTGGATACTCTATGGATCTTTCAGGAAAATGTATATTTATACATTGAAGAATATACACTAAACAGCTAAAACAACTAAAATGTATTTATCAAGCAATTTTGGAATATAAATCAATTAACTTATGCAGGCGCTCCAATAATGTGGCTTTGTGCCAGACTATATTTAGTTTAGTAAATAACCATAAGGACAAGTAGGACATAAAAACTTACATCTGTAGTGCTTAAGAAGATAATATTCTGTTAGATCCCAGACAAAGACACCTCCATCTTTGGTACCAGTAGCCAACAGGGTACCATCAGCAGCAACAGACATGCAATAGACACTGGAATCGTGTTCTAAAGAACTCTGCAAAGAAAACAGAACAATTATTCATGCAGTTCTCATTACTATCAATTGTAAATTAAGCAACACTCACTTCTCACTCCCTAAAATCATAAGTTAGAAGGAACACCACCTACCAAGTAGCCTGCCCATTAATGTAAAAAAACAGATGTTTTACAAAAAACACATGTTAACAATGTCATACAAAACTTCAAGGTTGGGCGCATTAACTGAGGAAATAACTATCAGAGGGACATGTCATCCTAAATAGAATGCAAATTACACGACAAAAGAGGCAGAGACGGATGTACAAAATCATCTAAATGAATCGGTCTCAATCCTGGTTTACAAAAATTATTTTGCACAAATGCTTTTAGAAAAACTTGTCATGCAAATTAGTAAGTAGAAATTCAACCAAATGTTAAAAAAAAAAAAAAAAAGTACATAATTTACCAATAAATTAGCCCATTGCTAGAGCATCTATTTCCCATGTAGCAGCTGAATTAACAGGTTTAAGATAAAGGAGTTCACCAGGTGTCAAAAAGTTGGATTAATTCCAACCAAAAAAAGAAAAGAAAAAAGTATCATGATGAAGTTGATGAAATCATGGCAAAAAGCAGGGAGAGCCTGGGGAAAAAAAAAAAAAAAAACTGGAAGTAGATCTCATATTTAAAGGAAGACAGTACAAGCTGTGAATTAGAGATAATTTATGGGTTTCTCCCCAAGGAATGTTAAAATAGTAGCAGTCAAGATGTGTCTTCCTTTCTTTCCAGGATACAGAAGTGTGAATGAATGCTGCACTGATCAGTTGAAATTTGACAAGAAGCAGATTTGGAGAAAAGTAAAAGTTTTTTTTTTTTTTGTTTTTTTTTTATCATTTCACCCCAAGCAAGGCAGAAATGCCACTAATATACAAGGAGTTACAGAGAGTGAAGGTGAGAGAAAAGACTGGGGGTGGGGATAAAAGATGAACAGGACTCAAGAAGATAGATTGACATTGCATTTAAATTTTTGAAGATTGTAGTTATCAGGGAAGCAAGTAAATGGAAGGGAGTTCCACAGGCGGGAAGTGCAAGAAAAGAAACTGTTAGTTACATGTAACCACCACCTCTTCTCTATTTCAACAGTAAAAGGGTGGGACCTAGATGCCAATCTAGTAGTGCACTTAAATTCATGTAGTATGGGCACCATGGGAAAAAAAAAAAAGCTTGTCATAGCAGTTGCCATGAAAATATGAGTAGAAAAAAATAGAAGGAAGCCACATCACATCGGTGAGAAAGTGACTGAAATTGTGATATTCCCCCCAAATACAACAAACCTTTTCATGCCTTCTTTAAATAAAGTTGCCTGTAACAATGTCTTGTATTTCCAGTTAATATAATTAAAAGTGGCTTTTTGTTTGACATTGATAAAACAGAAATACTATCCAAAATTGTTACAGATATAAAGATAGAAGGCCATTTTTTTTAAAAATAGATAATTTTTCATTTCAAATGAAAAAAATCTTTTTGGTAGGACTGCAAAGTGCATCTCTTTCCTTTCAGTAAGGAGAATATTAATTTTCTATAAAAGATATCTTGAAAAATCAAAATCCAAAGCAATATTTTTCACACACACACACACACACACACATATATATATCAAGAACAATAATAGGGGAAAATATATGACAAAGTGGAAAAATTTTTCATGTGACTCGTTTTGTCATTTCATCAGACTAAATTTGTTATGTCGGTGTGACTACACATCCACACAAATGAGGGATGATAGAAACATTAATTATTTTTTTAAATTACATATAAACTGTTAATAATAAAGAGTGCTATGTCTATTTTTTTGTTAAGCTATCAATATTAAATATATTCATCTGGAAGAGACAGCATTGAAATGCTCAAAAAACAAAAAAAATATTAATACTTACAAGACGTTCCTGTGTGAAAAGTCGGACATTCATCTCACTGGAATAATGCCAAACCTTTAAAAGAAAAAAGTAATATTATACTTTCAATATTGAAGAACTTGGAAATGACTGTGTACAGATAGAACTGCACTGATAATTGAGTTCCTAATGAAATTTCCTACAAGTCAATCCATTCTACAACTTTCTTTAAATCTACGACTTGTATAAAAAGGTTTCTTTTTTTTTTGTTTTTTTTCCCCTCAATATTGCAAAGAAAAAAGGTTAGTGTTTAAATTTCCTGTTTGCTAACACCAACATCTGCAAATAGTTAATTTTATTTTAAGAGAACGCATATCACCGCTTGGTCACTTTCAACATGTTCTCAATTCCTTTCTTTGTTTAAGAAAGGATTTCATACTATGTCCATGTTGAGCAAAAAAAGGCCACACTTCACTGAAGTCTACACTGGTCCGACATGCATCTTGTTGATAAATTAATATATACTACCCAGCCCAGAGATAGATCTCACAATTACGATGCAACCAAATTTAAAAAAACAATGGTTTTAATCTTCTTGTCAGTGGAAAAAAGACTAATAATTTATCCATTTTCTATGAGGTGAAATTTTCAAAGGTATTTGTGGGTAAGTGAATATAACAAATCCAACAGGAATTGGGATTCGGATCTCTGATTAACAATTCTGAGAAACCATCCATTACATTACCCACACATCTAAGCTTACAGCACCTAGTATTCCCAAGTGGTCACCCATCTATGTACTGACCGGTTTTGATGTTGCTTAACTTTGGTGATTGTATGGGAATCAGTGTTTCAATGTGATTTGCCCAAAACAAGACTAGTATTAAGAAAAAAAATGTATTTCTAAATAATCTACTCTATAGATTAAATAAAAGGTTCAGTTCAAAATTCCCTGAGGGTTAAACCCAGATTAGACACCTGAAAATGAAAGGGAACAACAACTGAAGTGTTTTGATAACAACAAAGATAAGGACATTAGCCCAATTTAAGTAATTCTTCACCCTAGAAATGCAGACACTTCTTTAAAATCATATATTTTCTTAATGACTCATAAAAATGAACAGACTAAACTGTGTGTGTAAAAGTTGAAGGTGGCTATTTTACAGGCAAAACAAACAGTAAGCCACCATTTCACAAGAGAAACATAGAAACATTTATCACATAAGTAAGCCATCTACTATAAACTATAAAGAATATGAAATGGTTTGTTTTACAGTATATCAACCTCAATGGGTTATTTAATGCTGACAAGATTTTTTACAATAGATTTGTATGAATAGAATATATATTCTTTGTAAGGAAACAGTTTGTAGATCTGGTTTCATTCTTATACTTCTGTAAAGAGGTTGTGATCAAGAGTGCTTTTATTGGTGTATTGTTTTCAGATACATGGTTTGAAGAGAAATTGATTTTGACATTTTTATTTGGTCTATGATTTTTGGTATAGTTCTACTGTTTTGAGAAATGATATTATATCATCCACTTTCACTTTCTTGAACAGCTGACACATATTGTTTATATTATAGGATTTTTGACTTGGGTGAGCACAATCTGAGTACTTGGTTGATATATGTTTAATAGTATATGCCATTTTACATGCTTGGCATACTGGTTGATCTTTGTTTGGTAAGTATGAGTGGGTAATTCTCATATAGTCAAGAACTTTTAGGATGAATTTCTAGCATGTTCACATCGACGTCTAAGTCTAGGTCTCTTCAAACTGATTGACCCTCAGCCATTGCCTTCTAATGTCTATAAATTGGATAGAGAAGATATTTTATTCCGGTGTATATTTGGGGTATTGTATTTAGTTATAAAGTACTCCATAAATTGATATAGTTATAGATACTAGGGTTTGTCACAACCAGCCGATTGATCAGAATTGGCCTCTCCAAATGTCCATCAAGTCCAAGTAAGAGCCAAAATGGTGTGTTGGGAATCAGAAGTAACTAACCCTGACTCCTGAAGCCCTCAACCAGGATTCTGTTCCCAGACATTACAGGTTGCCACCCATGGCAAACAGGAGGCCTCATTCTATTTTTTTTTTTTTTTTTTTGAGTAGGGAGTGGGGTGGGGTGTGGGGTTACCCATCTGCAGGCGTCTTCTGAAGCCCCAGCTGACAGGGCAGAATATGAAATGGAGTTCATTTATTTATTTTTGGTAAAAAGATAAATCAAAAAAAAAAAAAAAAAAAAAAATGCTACATTTTAAAATATAGAGATACTATTTCCCATTTGTCTAGTGATGAAATTTTAAACAAAAATATTGTATCGATTCATTTAGATTAATTTTCTGCATATATTTATTTATTATCTTGTTTCAGGCACTGTACACTACAGTCATCCTTGGGTCTTTATTATATATTGAAATGTGAAAACTTATTCTGAAGATGTGTTAGGTATGAAAGAAGAAGTACATATCTTCCCAAGACAGTCTTCACTTGACCCAGACATTGAACCCACAGTCTTCCAGTGATTGCCACCAGCACACTTATGGATCATGATTTTTGTACCACAAATTCATTTTTTTTTTTTTTTTTGATCATTGGCTATATTGTATCATTGACATATATTGCCTTCAGTAATAAAAAATAATGAACAGTAGAATTTGGTAGTTTTCATTATTTTACTTTACAAGGGTGCCGTTATCATTTTTACCAAGTGGAAGAGATCGGGGTAGAATTGAAAGTAACACTGCTTGCAGACTACAGAACATTCAATGTTGTAACTGAAACCTATAAAGGGAGCAAGCAGTCACAAGCAAATGAACCAATATTCTAACACAACACTCCTCTATGCTATTGATATTTGATTTGATGGTAGTCAATGTGGATTCCTTCAAACATTTCATTTTCTAATGCTGTTCCAAATTTATTATTTTGATTTCATTTTTATCAAGGTTGGTTTGCTAACCTAAACTCTCTTGATAGTCTTGTTTATAGGAGTAGTTGGTTGGTCTCACATCTGTACTCTGCCACACCTGCATGGGATGTTTTATATGCAATTCTTGGTAATGTTTTCTTCTAAAAGAAACTTCACTTCAGTGAGTTATCTACACAGAAATTATTCTGAATAAACCAAGATATTAACAAAAAGATTGTGTTTTACATACCTTCACATCAGAATCCCAAGAACCAGTTAACAGTTTATCACCAGAAAGCAGCAAACAAGACACTAAAACAGAAGAAAAATAAATCCATAATTTGATTAGCCAGTCATGTAATTTTGCATCCAATTACTATATTTTATGACATACAAGACTCCTATTTAAATCTAATTTTACAGTATTATAGAGTTAGTCTAGATTTTTGTAGCCTATGGCATCTGGATAAACACCAGTCTACCGGATATATATAAAACCTGGTAGATACTTTTACAAGGGAGAAAGAATATTATATGCCCTCAAATACAGTAATTGTGTTTTTGTTGTTTTTTTTTTATGAAAATAAAACTTCTTGTCTAGTATAGCTGAAAATAAATTTGAAAAATTCTTATTGGTTATCAAAATTAAAAAAGAACTCAAAGCATTATCTTCTTAACAGAAGTCAACAGGTTTATCAGGCTGGCACAAGATGAGCCATATTTACATTCTTTTGATTTCTGTCAATTGACAATTTTTTTATTATTATATACACAGCTTTGGATTTAGTGAGGAAAATATATGAGAGAGATATGTGTATGATAAAAAAATCTACATATACACACATATACATATTTCTTTCTCAGGTGTTATAAATACAGAGCTCAATGTTATGTAACATTAAGCATATATTAGTGAATATACATAATATCCAACATTGATAGCATGACTTGGAGTTTCATGCAGACTTGCAATCTTCAGGTGCTGAATACAGTCTGACCATTATATGGTTTGCATTCTCGTGGTGATGATTTAAAATTGTATGTTAAGGCTTGTTTATTTAATTATTATACCAACATTAAAGTGATCAATTTCCTAGACATTACATTTGACTTGAGTAAGGGCCTGTATAAACCATACATTAAGGATTCATATAACAGCAGGTATATTGACAGAAAATCCAACCATCATAAAAGGATCCTTGACAATTTACACAGATCTGTACAATTTAGGTTATCAACCAACTTCAGTAATAAAGAAATATTTGATGATAATAAAGCTAGATATGATAAAGCACTAGAACACAGCAGCCATAAAGTGAAATTATTCTTATTTCTTTCTACATACTCTAAAGATAAAAATAAGCTCAAACAATGCAAATGTAACACAATATGGTTCAACCTGCCTTACAACTATAATGTCAAAACCAATGTAGGTAGAACTTTCTTAAATTTAATTCACAAATACTTTGGTCATTCTCCAACATTAAAAAAAAGATTTTCAACAAAAATAATATTAAGGTAAGCTATAGCTGGACAAAAAAACATAGATAATTATATATCCCAACATAATAATGTATTAAGCAAGCACACAAATAAAACACTAAATAATAATCCTACTAAAAGTAAATGCAACTGACGTAAAAATGTAACATGCCCATTAAATGGCCAGTGCATGATTGAAGGCATACTCTACAGACCTAGGATCAATTCACATTATAATGTTAAATATTACTTTGGATCCACCAAGAACAGCTAGAAATCATGTTTTTACCACCACAAAATGAGCAATATAAAATACAAAACTGCATACCACTTTCAAAGTATGTTTGGTGATTAAAAAACAACTATAAGAAACTAACAATTAGTTGGGAGATAATCATGAAAGCTAAACCATACAATGAAAAGGGGAGACAGATATAACTTGTGTTTGTTGGAGAAGCTTTTTATATTAAAACACTTAAATAACTTTAACTTGCTGAACACAAAAAGCAAATTGATGTCTACATGTAGCCATAAAAACAAACATCTGCTCAAACACATTGACACCAATTAAAATAGATTTTATTGATATTAATATAATATGTAACATGCATTAATATTCATAGAACCCATCATTAATAACATTTTTTATATATCTATATACATATATAACCCCATATTACCGTACTCGATTAATTTATAATGTGTGTATATGTAATTTCACCTTTCTAAGTATTAGGCTAGGTTTCAAACATATCAGATATAGTCTCGACCTATTATTACACTAACACCATGAGTACTAGTTTATTCCATTAGAATGTACTTTAAATGTTATAACTATGGTATTTTATGCAAAAAAGAGAGTTATCTCCCTTGATACTTGTTTACTTTATTTTAAATGAAAAATCTGAAATTATTTTTACTTTTTAATTCTTTGCTTTCAAACTTAAGAAATTGAATGATATAAATCATAAATAATTACTTATATTTTAAGCAATAATAATTAAATAAACCAGTCTTAACACACAATTTTAAATCACCACATGAGAACGCAAATCTCATAACGGTCTAGTATATTTTCATCCAACTTCACTCGTACACTATGTATAAAATACACACATTGAAGAAAAAAAATTCCAACATCCTGAAAATGTTTCAATCTAGTTGCAATTAAATATAAAGCTAATATAACTGAATTACAGTAAATAATTACATGTACAGATCAATATGTGCACAGGTTCCAAAATAAGTAAGTGTATCAATAGTAGACTATATTAATAAACTGTATATCTTTTTTTGACCATCTTGCAGAGCATGTTGAATACTAAGTGGATAATGTGGGAAAGCATTTAACATTTCATTGCATTTTAAGAATACACTGACAATCCCACATTATCTTTCTTCCACAGAGCTCAGCTTCTGGGGTTCAGTTGTGGGGATTTATCCTAGTCAATCCTAGTATGATTAGTCATTAAGATTATACATCTGTCATTACAATTGATTTTAAAAAAAAAAAAAAAAAAAAAAAAAACCTTATGATTCAACATAAGTAAAATGCTATTACTTTTTTTTTTTTTTCTCCTGGCATGGGTAAACATATCTAGAAAATAGAAACAAGAATCCAAACTCACCAGCATCTTCATGAGCAGGTAAAGTGTCTAAGATCCGGCCATATTCAATACTGTAAAAATAACTGAAAAATAAAACAGAAATTAATTGGTCTTTATCATAAGCAATTCCAAATTACAGCTGTATGTGTGTACTTGTGTAAAACAGTTGTAACAAATAGCTTAAATAGAGTTAAACTTTAGAGGCAGTTGACAATTACATATATACTACTTGTGTAAACCATAAATACGTATGTAAACATTGTTCTTCCCCTCTTACTACATGGGTGCAGAAAGTGAGATTGACATGTCAAGTTCAATTTTCACCTGGACACCATTGTTCACTTTCACACAAGCTTGGAAAGGCATGAATCCATTTATTTTTAATCATTTCACTCTAAGCAAGGGAATAAAACCAAAAGATACAAGGGGATACTGAGTGTGAGAGAATAAAAAAAAAATGAAAAATGAAAACATCAAAGAGAGAGAACAGTAAAAGAACAGGAATTAAGAAAACTGAAGAAAAAGATTTGATTTTTAAAAATTTAAATGTAAGGTCAAAATTGACTAGAAAGCAAGAAGTACAAGAAAAGAAACAATAGAACTTATGGTTACATTACATGTAACCATTTTGACTGTGAAATGATGAGTTCTTGCTACCAATCTAGTACTGCACTTAAATTCATAAAGTCTAGGTACCATAGAGGAAAGTTCATCAGAATAATTGCCATGAAAAAATATTTATAGAAAAGGCACAGAGAAGCTATGTTACATTGGTAGGAAATGTAAACTGAGATGCCAGGACCAATAACATTGCAGATTATTCTTTGTATTTTACCAAGAATGTCTAAATACATAGCAGAAGCACCAGACCATATGTGGCAGTAATACTGAATACATGAAAGAATGGTAAACTTATAAATGTGAAAGATAGATAGATTCTGTCCAGAAGAATTGTCACAGTCAACCAACTTTCCTAGCAATTGATTCAATATAAGCTGACATGAATTGGAAAATGCTAGCTCAAAAAGGTGCTACAGAGTCTCTGTAGAAAGGAGTTAATAGCAAAGCAGAAAGGCTTTTCTAGCTTTGGTTGTCAATCTTGAGGAAAGACAATACAGAATTCAAAACTAGCTGGACATGGAGATATATCAACACTACCACCATAAAAAACCTACTTGTTATAGAAATCAGTGCAACAACTAGCATGGTAAGGCTGTTACCCTATACACCATGGCAGAGCTTACATGGTTAACATACATATGTTGTTGGATAAAGGATGTTTATCCATTTTACAAATGTAGTATGTAAAATCTGACAATCTGTAGCACAGTTTTTTTTTTTCGGTAATCACCCAATATGAACTAATTTGAAGAGCGGCTGTCTTTTTGTGGAGAGAAAAGTTCTGAGAAACTATTGTTGAAGTCAATTTTTCTTTTTATTTACAAAGTGTTGACTTACTATTGCACATTAATTTTTTCAGACTAACATCCTCATCTTGATTGTCACCAGATCAACATTTTGACTATTGTACCCACAAATCTTATTCAGGTACGTCTCATAGATCTGGAAATTTTGAACTGAAACCTTTATTCAATGCAGAAGAATAGATATCACATATCAATTAATTCTAATGAGTTAATTTTTCATTGTGATGTCATAACCTCCATAATCAGAGTATGGCATTTTTGTACTCTCCAAACAAGTGATTGAATTTACAACTGACATCTAACTTATTACCCTCAACTAATATTTATCCACTAGGCTATTTATCCTGGAAGGTTACCAACTAGGACAGACACCTGAAGGCGGCAAGAGGATACAATAGCTGAGGTAAGTATATCAGTTCAATTAGTATATAATAAACAAAGTATTTTGTTAATATATTGGTGCTTATTTATATATAATGTTTACCTTATAATGTTAGGAATGGATTTATTTTATTTACTTTTTTATATATATTTTCATGAATAAATATTTTTCATTATTTCTTCCAAAATGATCTGTTGTATTCAGTGACAGTATCAGAATTTCAAAACCAAACCTTTATTCAATCCACAGTGTGACTATTTTCATTCGGCTGTAAATACTAAGAGAGATTATTTGTTATCGTTATGCTGTTTCTTCTTGTTCCACTGAACCAGTGTTCTATGGATTCAAAAGTTTAAAAGGATGAACTATTTTAACCACCAAATAATCTAAGCCCACACCTACATCCATTGCCCTGTAGAATAGAGCAACTCAGAATGAGAGAGATGGTCAAAAGTACTCAAAAAAATCAAAAGTGAACATTGAGCAGTTTATTCACAATTTTGATCCACATTTAGAAATTAAAAATTAAACCAACCCAAGGATTTTTAATACATTAAGATTTGGGTGGGGAGAAATCATTCATAATATTGAGAATTTTCAGCACCATTCTTTTTATGTGTGCTTTTGCAAGAAAATAAAAAAATTATATATATATATATATATATATATATTATATATATATATATTTATATATATAAACATCAGATAGAATTTGCCAGGAAGTGACTGATATATAGATGTATAAGTCTAAATTAAGGTATGTACATTAAGAAATATTAGAAGAGAGAGAGTAATGTCTGTTTCTATGCATACATGAATGAGAAGATAAATATAAAATCTTAACAAAAATAAATCAATATAACTGACACTAATATATAAAAATATGAAAAGAAAAAGATAGATGGCAGCAAAATAGGAAAAATACAAAAATATAGACTAACAAAAAAAAAAAAAAAAGGAGGGCAGCAAGTCATTGCGACTAACAAATAATAGAATAAATCAGTGTATAATAATTCCTTAATAATTTCTTACATAGAAATTAAAATAAAATCTTGTTTGATAATAAAACATTGATTATTTATAAGTTCATGTTTTTAAATTACATTCAGCCATTAGAATTAAAGAAATATCTTCTTCACCTGATGAACTCCATATATTTTAATCTCTAACAAAAAGAAAAAAGCAGGATAACTGTAGATATGTTTTCAGGGTTATTAAAATTATCTGTAATTTTGTTAACTAATTAAATACTGATTACTTGTATGCCTATCAGAGTTACTTTTACCCTTTATATTGAAACATTTTCTTTCTTTGTGAATAGATTTTCTTTCTAATCTTTGCTACTTAGCTGTAGAAAACAGACTGAGCATTGCATTAAAAAATGTCAATAGAAGGATGGAGAGAAAAAAAATAGTCAAAATCATGAAACTGCTTCATTTAAGAAATCTAAACAGCTTAAATCTATTATTACAAATAATATTTTTTAAAAAATATGGTGGCCCTCCAAGAGATAAGGTTGATCATAGCTCATTGTAGATTCATTTTCTTTATCTGCAAATTGTTATAAATTCTTCGGAGAGATGCTAGCGGTTTTGCCATAGTTTTGAATTCAGGATCTTCTTTCACCTAGACTGGCTGGCATGAAGGCTAGAGAACTCAGTCTACGCTGCTATTTAATCTATAGTTGGAGTGAATGTGGGAAGAAGAAATGGATTTATACCTTTTTCTCAAGGGCATTTGTGCAAAAACGAACAAACTAAACTAAATTAAAATTATTACAATTTCTAAGTATTAAACAAACAATATGAAATGGAGAAAATCAGATAAGGCAAAAAATGTAATTGTATGACTACATTTAAATTTTGCCTACTGATGGGTCTTCATGGTCAAATCAATCTATGTAAGAATACAAATTTAAATTTTTTTGATTTTCCAAAATTCATTCTGCAGACTTAAGTTATACAATCTAAAATATGAGCATTGCAAAAAATAAATTGTTTAATTTTTTAGTATTGTATCAATTTTTCCAATTATTGATTGTTATAATTACTGGTCTTTTTTCTTTCTTAAATTTTTGTTGTTAGTTTGAGAAAAGGAATCATATCATGATATCAATATTATGCATGTTCAAGTTTTTAAGAATATTAATTACTAAAAATAATTAAATTAAAAAAAAGGGAATCTTACACACTGTTGTCCCAAGATCCCACAATCACAGTTTTATTATCATTCACAGGAATGCATTTTGATAGAGTCTGAAAGAAGACAAAGAGCAAAGGTCAATTTTCTCTAATAAGCATACATCACAAAATGTATATAGCAAAATATCAATGCTATTTGCATGTTGACAGTTGCAAAACTGCATCCAATATATAACAAATAATAAAAAAAAAATTTATTTTATATATATATATATATATATATATATATATATTCATTCAAAACAAGGACAAAAATTAAACCATAATAAATATATGTCTTTTATCAGTCCTTTGCTTTTGAGTTATTTCCCAACAAGCAAATATTTGCATAGATTTTTTTTAAATGTACAATCCAAGATACAATATAAAAAATTTTTTTAAAACTTTTTTTTATAGGTTCCTGATTCCAATTGTAACCTTTTATTTTTAAACTTAATTTTTTAAACAAAAATGAAGGATTTAAAGACATATGTTTATTTGGATATTTGACCTTGTTTTGGTGTTAAAAAAAATTTTTTTTCAAATATATATATATATATATATATATATATATATATATATATATATATGGCATTCACACAATTTCATACAGGTCAGTGATGCATTCTTCAATAAAACTATCCATTATTATTCTGATGGTTATTTTGGTCCATGTTAATGGTTTCAAATTATTCTAATTCTTTTAAATAGAAAAATAATTATTTTCCTACAGTTTTTTTAACTATTTATAAAATAAGAAAAAATGCATAAGAGAGGGAAATGAAATGTAACAAATGCTGGTTATTGATTTTAACAATTTTATATATGCAAACTATTTTCATTAAATACACTATGCATATATGTATATATATGTGTAAGTGTGTATATGTATATATATGGTGCAATGTATAAATTATCGTCTAAATTACACAAAAATGAAAGTAACACTGACATCTCATTTTAACAGATATTTACCAAAATTACACAAAAATATCTTGAAATAATAAAAAGTAAATTTATTCAATAAAAATGGCCATTGGCTTCAACCATGGCCTTCAGAATCTCCTGCAACTCTTCTAGAATGTCTCCTTGTTTAAGTTGGTGAATGCTGCCATAATCTTTGCTTTCAGTTCATCTTTGTGTTACACGGAATTTTGTTGGTCTCTTGCTCAACTGCGTCCCACACATAATAATCAAGGAGGTTGCAGTCTGGGGAGTTAGGTGGTTAGATGTAAGGGCTGATTGATTGGTCACAGAAATTATCTGACAGCTATGACTGGGTTCTCCTGCTTGTGTGGCATGGTACAGAGTCCTGTTGCTAGACATAGGGTCTTCCAGCAGCCACCCTCTTGACCCAGGGCAGCACTACTTCCTATAGGCCTCTGTGTTGAGTCTGAGACCCTATGGAAATATGAATGAAGGCATAATGTCACCATCACTAGTGATCACTCCAAACACCATGATGTTGACCTGATATATCGTCCAACTCTTTCCGAATACTCTGCACTCTCTTCAGATTGACACCCAACCACTCTGAAATGTTCATATTGAAGATTCCAGCTTAAATGCTAAGCAACACAGCATGCTGCTTCTAAATTTCAGTCGGAGTAAATTGCGTCATGGTGTTCTTTTTCTCACAGACATTGCCCAACTGGCTCTACTATAAATTATTTCTTGTGTGTATGCATGTATTCAACTTTTGGGTAGAAACTATGTGTATGCTCACAGCAATAGAGGAATATATAGGAACACATACACAGACACACACATATCAGAAGAGCCTAGTAAATCCAAAGAAGATAGACAAGGACAAGATCACTCATTTTCACAGATCACTGAATCCTCTTTTACTCACCATATTACATAAGTTGATGCTCCGGGATTGACATTTATCCTTCACTGAATACATTTTGAAGTGAACATCTGAAACAAAAGGTCAAAGAAGACAAATCAAGAAACATTGTTTAATGATGATACAAATTTCTTAGAGAATTTAAATTGTCTTTTTTTTTTTTAAGGTATTCAACAAATTCATTAAAAGACAGTTGACACGAGGTGAATAGGTCAGGAAAAATAAGAAAGAATGAAACCTTTAAGATTTTAAAAGAAAAAAATATGAGGACTATTGAAAAATACAATAAAATAATGCATCATTACAAGTTTTTAACCTTTGTACTTTTGTAATTGGTGTTGAGTTTTATAAGTTGACAACACAGGAACAGGCTAAAAGATAGCAATGATAAATTACAACTATTTCTATGGCAAGAATTAAATTCCTTCAATAATCAAATTATAAATTTACCATTCTTTGTATTAATAGATGATTAATATTAAAGACAGATGAGGATTTTAATTCACAAGCATTTCCATTTAAAAAATTAATATCCTTGAAATTATAAAACTGCTATTAATAAATAGAAAGAAAAATTGTTACTAATTTGTATTTTAGACTAGTATATATTTTTAATAAAACGATATTAATCAGTTTTACATCCAGGCAAGCCTGTGTGTGCGTGTGTGTAATCTCTAGCTACTTTTTATGTGAATTAAAAAATTTTTTAAATAGGACATTCCCATATACATAAAGAATAAAATATATACATGATAAAATATAGTCTTAAAGTATGCTTATATTATAGGTAAAAGTGCTCAATATCAGAAACAGATCTTGTGTAAATATAAAAGTGGACACTGAGATCACACTAAAAATGGCTGTTCATTTCATGCCCAAGTAAATCTTCAGGACACATATATGAATAAAGACAAAAGGAAAACTTATCTTAGCTGACATGTTTTGTTCTCTGAGGGACTTTATCAATGTAAATGCAAGGATTTTATTTTGTCATCCATATTTATATACAAGAGCAAAAATGTTATTGCTTTTACAAAATTTTTAATTTTAGAAATGCTCATAAATATTCCTCAGGTTAGCTGAAAAGTCAGGCAAGTTATGGAGGACATGAAGTGACACAATTCAATGTCTAATAAACAAAAGTAAATAAGTGAGGTTTTCAAATTTTTTTTTTTAAGCAAATTAGTATTTAAATTATTTTAGTTTAAGATTAATTTATGCATTATATACTTTAAATAACATGAGGTTATGAATTTAATCATTTTCTTTTATTTTTCTAACATTTTTGGAGTAATCAATGTTGGCTTGGGAAAGTTGTAATTCTTTTAGGAATGGAGATATTGGAAAAAATTCAGATCACAGATTTATATTTTGAGAAGATTCAATAGTGGCACTCATGAAAATTTTCCTTCTAAGTAAGTTAATTTTTCTTTTAATAAGTTTGGCATTCATTAGATCAAAGTTGTGCTTGAATTTGTTTCTATTTATAACTAATGTATTTTATAAATTGTGGTGTTTAAGATCCCTTTTGCATTCATAATAATAAATTGCCAGAACTGTTTCTCACAATTTTGAGGAAACTTGTATAAATTTAAAAAAAAAAAAAAAAAAAAAAAGCATCTAGATTCTTATATAAATTCTTATAAAATTTATACATGAAAATATGTGAAATCAATTAAAAAAAAAATTGAACAAACCTTTGGCTGCAGAGAATATGTAATTACCATCAGGTGACAAATGAACATCAAGTATAGAACTGGGGGAAAAAAAAAAATTACGAATTTGATAAAAGAACAAGTAAATTATATATATATATATATATATATATATATATATATATATATATATTAAAACTTTCCAAAAAAATCAGAAAAAAAAAAAAAAAAATATACTTAAGGTTTAAAATGAATTTTATAAATGAAAAACCTTTCTAGAAGCTTTTATTTTAGTTTTAATTTCAAGCTAATAAAATAAATATAATATTTCTAATAAGCAAAATACTTTGCTGTATTTCAAAAACTAATTTAAATTGACAGGAAGGAGGAGTTTTTTTTTTTTTTTTGGCTAAAATAGCTGATTAGTGCTCTTTTTTAGTCATTGCAATGTAATTCTCTTATTAAAAAATATTCCAAAAATAAAATATACTTTCCTGAAACATTATTTGAATAATATTCACTAAAGTATAATTAATCTGATTTGAAACAAATAGTATTTACTTTACATTTAAAATATCACAGACGGCATTGTTTAGCTGTTTTGATGTGTTCACAGCCTGATCACAGGTTTAATATTGTTCTACAGAGGCTTTCTCTGTAAAGCATCATTTAAAAAAATGACATTTTTTCTATATAATTTTTAAGTACTCAGTAATCTTAAATATTTAGGAAAATATTCTCCATAATCAAAGAAATTTTAGAAATGTTGACTTTAAATTTACTATAGTCATCGCTCTTATTTTCTTATGTTGTGTATGGTCACCTGTATTTACAAAAATCACTTAATAATATCATCTAAAAGACTAAAATTAATACAGAATTTTAAAAGATAACTTAATAAATTTTTCTAATTAAAATTTAAAAGAAATGAAACCAATTCTTGAAAAAATTCATCATTCATCGAAAACAAAAATTTTCTTAAGACTATAGTGTCTTTAATAGATCTTATTTATAAAAGCAATTAAAAGCTTTTCTAATTAAATAATGTTTTAGTTTTATTGCATTTTTTATTTTATGATTCAGAGCAAAATTTCAATAAATGGTGTTTCTGATTGACAAAACAAATTGATGATTTAAATTCTCCAAGGAGTCCTGTTTTTAACTAATATAAATATGAAGTGGCTGGAATTTAAAACTTGCATTTTCTTCTGTTAAGTAACTCTTTGTACATTTTCCAAGTGAACTGACAGGTGTTGAACTGAAGGACCGGTTATGAATTGGAAAGCTAAGGATCCTCCAGGAGCCTCATTGTAAGAGATGTATTGGTCCATTAGAAACTTTTGAAGTTCATTTTGATTCTCCAGATCAAATACTGCTTGGTCACTTCCTTTGTTAATGTATTTACATAAATATTTAATTGATTTGATGCTGTTGCAGTCCTCTACATTTATGTGAGCACCAAATGCTTTACTGAGCAGTAGGCAAAAAGGAACACCCTGTCCTCTTTTATTCAGAGTGAAAGTATGACCTCCATCTTCTGGCTTTCTTCTTTTGTATTTTGGATAGCCATCAAGATGAGACTGATTCTCTTTGTTAAACTGCTTTGGAAAGTTTTTGCAGCACTTCTTGTCAACCATGCAGGGAGATTCAGGATTGAGAGAACCACATGGGCCATGAATAATGTTTTTTATGATTTCAAAAAGGACTAGATCTTCAGTGGGATTTGGCAGCTCAGCACTGATGATAGCATCAATTTGATTTGGATTGATTTTCTCTTTGAACCAAATCAATAGATGACAATGAGATAGTCCTCTTTTCTGCCACTCAATAGTTCACATGTGAGCCCTGACTGCTCCAAAAGCTTTGCTTTTCCTAATGAGATTCAACAGTTTGTCAACTTTCATCTTAAATACTCAAGATACAATCTCATTAGTATCTTGAGTAGCAAATTGACCTTCTATTAAATTGTTATTTCATGCCATAATGTGTTGCAGGTAAAGGTAATGAAGAGGTCAGTCTTCCCAAATTTCTGACATATGTAATTCTATCTTGAGTCCTCTCATGGATATACCTGTCACCTCCTATAAATGATGATGGAAGAGTGACTTTCTTTCCAGTGTTGAATTTTGAACATCATCTTGGAAGTGAATGTAGCTGTCTGCTCAATGTTCTTGTTGGTGGCATGAGATAAACCTGTTACGATTTTTGCATACATATCAACCAAGAACTGGTTGGAGAGCTGCTTGTATCTCAGTAGGTGATTGAATTTGTTGGCTATTAACATGATTCTGTAGCAATAGAAGTCTTGTGTTGAAACTTTCTTTTAGTTTCATCAGTTTCAGGGTCAATTTGTTTCGGAAGAAAATAATAGCACTCCTACCCTTGCCAGAAAATAAGTGGATACCCAAGAGCATCATATCCTTTAGGGATCCATTTTGTTTTTATATCACTATGTCCCGTTTTTAAATTTATAACCTGCAATGAGTACTGCTACTTCATTATTGGCAGATGGTGCATTGAATCTTCTTTCATGCTCTCCAACAGGTGTCTTATCAGCTCTAATGACTAATCTCAAATTCTCCAGTCCAACTCTCTGAAGGGCAAATTTGAACTCTTGAACATATGGATTTGTTTGGTGAAGAAATTCCTGAGAGTTCAGAATTGTGCTTAGTTTCAAATCCTGAAAGAGATTATTTCTTGCCTTGGTTTGGACTTGATCTTCTAGAAAAAACGATTTGGAGAAACTTCTGGGGTTCATTTGGCAAAGGCTGCAGATTGCCAATCCAGTGGTATACTTGTCCTCGAATTCTGAATATGGTCTGCCACCTAGGAAGAGTTGCATCCTTTGCTCCAAAAGAAGTCATTGCAAATGCATTGTTGTAAGCTCTAATATTCTTCAGGAAATCCTGGAACTCATGGGTGGATCCAGCTAACAATGACTTGAGTTGTTCTGTTGGAACTGGAAAGTCCTAGTGTTTGATCTTTCTATTGGAGCAACATTGAACTTCAATGCTTCTCAATAGTTGCATTCTTTGTTTAGCTCTCCAAAAAGTCACAATAGGTAGGGAGGAGTAGTCTTGATTGGTTACATATTGAAAAGCAAGTTTCTCAAATTGGACTACATTCTGTCTTAATCTTCTTTGCTGTACAACATTAGATCTCCTAGTTTCTGATTGCTCTAGCAATTCTGAACCCATTACTGTTCTGATGTTGGCTACATTGGAAGCTCTCCTAGATTCAGCTTGTTGATGTGTTTCTAATAAACTTTCTCTCCTTTTGGTAAAAGCATTTGATGCTATCTTGGATGTAGCTTGGCCCAGAGTTTGAGAGTCTCTAAGTCTTTGCATATTCTCAGCATTGGAAACTCTCCTAGCTGCTGTTTTATCTTGGTTTTCATTTGCACAGGACTTTCTAATCCTAACTGCAGCCTTGAGACTTTTGATTGCAACCTGGTTCTCTGTTGGCAGAGACTTTTTGCAAGGCATACTGCTGCCGTATGCGATAGACCAACAATAAACTACAGAAGAACTCAAAATTGATGGCTGAATTTAAGTATTACATTAATATTTAAGCTTACCTTTTAAAAGTGCAACGATCTGCCACCATTTAATTCAAAGATAATTTGAGGTATGTAGGTCCTTACTTTCCATACAAACAATTATTTTTATTTCATGGGTGACTATCACTGGATTTCTAAATTAATTTTAATTATTCCCCAATTTATTTTCAAGTTATAAAAATTGTTATCACAAAAAAAATTTTGTTACAAAAAAATCACATAAAACAAATTGCTGAAAACAATCTCAATAATGAAAATTTGGACATCCAAAATTTCTGTAACATGAACTATTGAAAGTTAGAAAGTTGTGACCTTTAATTGTTTTTATCAGTAGAAGCCAAGCCAAGATGGTGGTATCTGAAAACAATCACAGTAATGAAAACTTGGGAATCCAAAATTTCAAAGTTGCAGGTCCAGATCCTGCCTGGAATATTTTTAATTTGCTCACAGAGTCATCCCGATTCCAAAATATGTCAGACTACAGTCTCTAGGAGTAAAGTTGAAAAAGTATGACACACTGACATATTTGGGGAGTAAGCTTTCTTTCAAACATGTTTCGATGAATACAGCAGACAAGGAAAATTTGATGATTTATTTTTTTATTAAGTTTTTCTAGTATTTTTAAAGCTTTCTGTTTGGTGAGATTAAGGGAGTGCAAAAATTTGTCTGTAGCATCTATTGTCCCAAGTGTGTTCATCCACTTTATATATATATATATATATATATATATATATATATATATATATATATATATATACACACACAATATAATATACAGGATGGGATGAGTAAATTGTTGCCATTAAATATTTGTAATTTTGCATTGTTATTGATTTTGTCAACTGTAGAGTACAGAAGGTCATTTGGGCACTGTCTATGAAAAAAGACCACCATGATCTAATTCACTCCAGCAGAAATTTGGAAACAGCATGTAGTACTGTTTGGTATTCATGCCAGAAACTCCAATATGAACATTTCAGACTGTGTGGATGTCAATCTGAGGAAAGAGTTGGATGAGTCTGATGATGATTACGAAGATATGCCAGCTGGGAAAAGTCACTGATTATTCTAATAAGAAATCCTGAATTTGTTGGTAAAGGCTTCAGATGCAACATGGAGGCCAACATCAAATGCCTTGAGAAGATAATGGTGCCCTGGGTCAAGATGGTGGCTGCTAGAAGACCCTATGTCTGGCAACAGAACTCTGCACCATGCCACAAAAGTAGGAGAACCCAGTCTGGCTGTCAGACAATTTTTGCAGCCACATCACCCCTTACATCTAGCAACTTAATTCCCCAGATTGCAAACACCTTGAATTTTATGTATGGGGTACAGTTGAGTGAGAGACCAACAAAACTCCTTGTAACACAAAAGATGAATTGAAGGCAAGGATTATGGCAGCATGCACCAACTTAAACAAGGATACTGTCTAAAAGAGTTGCTGGAGATTCCAAGGTCATCTGGAGGCTGTGACTGAAGCCAATCGCAATTTTATTGAATAAATTTACTGTTTAGTATTCAAGATATTTGTGTGTAATTTCGATAAATCTATCTATAAAAATGAGATGCCAGTGTTGTTCTCATTTTTGGGTAATTTAGACGACAATTTATCCATCGCACCATATACATATTTTAATAATATTTTTATTTGAAAAATATTTTACATTGCTACATAAAAATTTCTATGTTTCGGAACTTAAAATTGTGCCAATCATCAGGCAGTATTTAGTGACTTATGATGAAAAAGACACACCCTCATTTAACTAAATGGTTAGCACTAAGTTAGGGTAAAAGTTTCTTGCTTAGATTGAGAAACATTTTCCATGTAATAATCCTCTAAGCAAGATTTTCAATAAAAATACGATTAAATTAAAAATATTATTAAAATATATTTTGCTCTACATTGTAGCAAGCACTTTTTTAAAAAAGCAAATGCTAAAAAACAGTAGATTCTAAATCTTTTATTTTATATATATATATATATATATATATATATATATATATATATATATCCATCTATCAATGGTTTAACTGTCAAGTATATCCAGAACTTTATGGATGGTTTGCTCATATCACATATATATATATATATATATATATAATGTGCACTATATATATATATAATGTGCACCATTAAAACATTGATAGATGGCCAGTTTTTAAATTCTGTCTTCAACATTTTCTTTGTCTATGACATTTGATTATTTAATCTGACAGAACTACCACAATCAAAATTTGTAGTTGAAAACAGTTGAAGAATTGTTACCAAACAAAAACATCTAAAAGATGGGATTGTTTCAGAAATTCGATAAAAAACAAAAATGAACTTACTCTTTATGTAATGAGTGTGAGAGCACAGGTTGTAAGGCTTGCCAGTCTTTCCTCTGGTAATTTCTAGATGTTGTCTTCATTCCATCACCATGGTTACAAGCAGCTGATAAAAGAAAAATGGCCTGTACAAATATGGCAGTTTATACAGAGTGTAGAGGAAATACCTCCCACATAAGGATAAAACATTAGAAAGATGAAGACACCATTGTTTCCAAGGAACTAAAACATCATCTGAAATTTTGAAATGAAGCTTTGTCATTATTCAGAATAATATTCCCTTCTTTACTGAGAATTTTAGAGGCATTTGGATATGTCAAGTGTTCCTATTGAGTTGCATAATTTAAATGAATAATGATAATTAATATAAGAGGGTGAATCAATAAGTTCACAGCCTAACAACATAGTTATAAGATGAATTTTAAACTGAAATTTTCACTGTATAATGTGATTAATATTCATCACGTAATTAAGGGCATTAACAAGAAAGAAAATTATGCTGAGAAATATTTGGTATTGAAAATAAATGCTTTTTTTCACCATTATGCTATTAAGTTATCGATAGCCTTACATATTATTAATCAATTTTATAAAGATTACTAACTTCGTAAATGCTGCTTCTGTGTTGTGTCCCTTGGCGATCACAGCTCTCCACAATTTCTTGGCCTTTGTAGTTCTCAATAAATTTTGTTTTCTTGCCATCTCTCCAAAACCCCTATCCCGCCATCCATCAGATATTTAAATTGTTGTAGCTGTTTGATTTTGGTATCTCCAATTTGTAATATGCACATTGAGGTGCTCCTTTTGCTAATAACCATTCTATCTTCTTGTAATTGATGTTTAGTCTTTTCTCCTCTCTTTCCTTCCCTTTCTGTGTCTGCCATCAACACTGTACCATCTGCATATCTTATGCTGTTAAGATTGTTGCTACCAATAATGAAGCCTAGTAGGATTTCTAATTCTCTCAGAATCGCCTTGTTGAATAGGTTTTGTAAGAAGATACATCCTTGTCTTACACCCCTTTCTTGAATGTTAAAAAAAAAAAAAAAATTGAGATACTTTTTTTTGGTACTACCATGAGATAGATTGGAGATCAGAGGTCTGTAAAGTAAGGCTGACACAAGGCTTTATTAGGTAATGAGCTACTTCTTACAATATTAAAATGATTAATGTGCTTTTCTCATCTAAAGTTAAGTCATTTTGCTTGAGCATTTTCTAATGTTTGGCACTGTTACTCAATCTATATCATTTCTGACAATATCAGCGCTTACTGACATTGTTATATTTCACTTTTGTTTTGAAGCATTTCAAGATGATTATATCAGAAAAAGATTGAAATAAGTTTCAATTCAATCTTTTTCATTTCTTTATAAAAGGATATTTTATGTCAATTATGTGAAATTTAGCCCTCGGAATGATTTCTTTTGTGAATAATAGCCATGAAAATCTTCATTTAATCAATGGTTTCACAGTATAAGAACATCATCAAGAAGTGAGGTAAATCGCAATAAGGAGGTTCAGATCCCCCAAATTTGAAGTCGTAATTCCAAGGGTCATAAATGAGCCCTGCAAGTCCAATTTCAGAAAATATTGTTTGGTTTGTTTTACGGTATATCAACCTCAATAACCGACAAAATTTTTATTGTTGGTCTAAATTTTCTCCAAAAATCTATTTCTGGTAATAGTTTTTTTTACAAAGTATTTCAGGTAGTAAAACCTATTTTTATACTTTCATAGTGTTTTGACCCCAGTTTGGAGGTTAACTATTTGCTCATAGCTGGGACCCTAACAGGTGCTACCACCCTGGGTCAGGGTGGACTGAGAACACCAGTAATTAAGAGGTGGTTCCATGCTCCTCAAAACCTCCCAATCAAAGGCCTTGCTATTGGACGCAGTTTATCAACTTACCCAGAACATGGATGTAGTTTATTGTCTTACCCAGAACGAGTAGTTTATCGTCTTACCCAGGATGCTCAGAAAATGCCATGGTCATAAATCAAGAGTAAAAAATCCACATAATCCAAAGCTAACTTCTTCACTCACAAAGAGCCAAGAAATCTTGAGTTCCAAAGATGGTAACTTATCGGAGTAAGAAAGGTTGTGATTGGTCAAAACAGATAGGGAAGCACAAACAATTTATTATATTTTGAGGCCTATTAAAGTCAACTTTATTCTGATTTTCTTTTTCAACAGATAGTACAGAGAACACAAATTCTTTTTCAAGACAAGACTTGGTTTGCTCCTTTGTCACCACAAGAAGTTAATGCATTATGGATCTATATTCAGAGTTGAAAGATGTTACTGATACTTGTATCCTTACAAAGTAAGGGTGCTAGCTGTTAAGGTTTAAGAGCACAGATTCACCAAGCATTCCTCTCTCTCCTCACACACAAATAAATATCAGGAGCCTTTTTTTTCCTTTTCTTTTTTTATTAACCTTGAAGTGATCATTTTAATTAGTAGGCAAACTAGTTTATTATAAGTACATTATACATACTTTTATTAACTTAAGTTGCCAAGTTCAATCCTGGTAACATTCATTATTCAACACTAACCACCATTTAACTTACTGTTTTGTTTTGTTTTTTTACAGCTTACAGAATGCAACTCTTTCAAACAAAACAGTAGAAATCACACTTTCTACTACATACAAAGATGTGGACCTCATTTAACTTTTCTTATCACAGACAAGTATTTTCTGGTTATTCTATACTGAACTGTAGATCTCTCTCCTCTCCAACATTAACACATACAATATATATCTTTACTAGCAGCATGGCCCGGCATTGCCCATGCTTGATTCAAAAATCATATGACTCATACAGCAATCGCTATCACTTGACTTAAAATATTTTTGCCTTTCCTTGCCTTTAAAGGAGTGCCCTTTGCCGGGCTGATATTGCTACATGCCTTACTTCTTGTCTATCTCACACTGCAAATTTTTTCTAAGCTCTATACTAAACATTAAATCTGTTACAAAAAAAAAGAAATAAACAAAATGAACACAAAACGATCAGCTTTAAAAAAAGGACTTGTAACTGGAAAATCCAAATGAAAAAAGAATGTTAACAACAAATACTTTTTCACACCCAACCCAGTTCTGTGGAATCAGAATCAACGTTGAGTTTAAGCAAGTGAATGAGCCAATTGGAGTAAAGAGTAAAGTGCCATGCAGATTTAAATTTTTCCCACTTGTGATGAATGCAGCTATCGATTTTTTTGGCATGCTAGTTAACATTTGTGTCAGTCAGCTGTTGGCTCTCATGCTGACCAATAGAATCTTCCTGCCTATTCATGGCAGCCAGCTATAGGCTCTCACTCTGGCCAGTAGAAAATGGCTGCAAACTACATGAAAACTGCTGTAGAAGCATGAAAAAAATTGATTATTTCCACTATCGATGGGAGTTGGGAAATGCAAAGTCGGTCTTGGCCTTCCCGCTAACTTAGAGCATGTGCTTGTAAATTTTGGTGCAAATCTGTTGAAAATTGCGGCCGTGCTTTTGTTACACACACACACACACACATCCTGCCTTTTATAGATAGAGATTTCATAAAACTATTTTTCTTCTCTAGATTTTCTTTTTAGAAACATCATCAACTGAAATACTTGCACATACAATTAACTCTGTTTTGTAATGCCCGTTTGTAGGAGAGACATTGTAAATCACAGATACAATATTAGTAACACCTTCAAACAATATTCTGGCCAAACGCCACTAATTCCCATATATGTATTTTTCCTTTACCCATCACGTGATCTAATCATTTCAAGATAAGGTTGACTGTGCTTGCTCTCTGGTGATCCTATATGACACTCTGAAACCATATATGTTTTCATAATTGATATTTACAAAGCAGTTTAATATTTTCTCAAACAGCAAAATGGTTACACAATACACCAGATTAATAATTGGAATCATATGGTTGTTTAACTGGTTAAATTGTTCATAATTAAAATATGACATTAAATGAAAGTTTAAAAAAAAAAAAAAGAAGAAGAATTGGTTCATAAATTTGGTGGCATAGTAATTGTCAGTTCAATCCCTAGGCTGGGTAGTACAGATACAGAGGAAATGGAGCGAACAATAAAGGAGTAATATGTGGCATTGCAGCTCAGATCAGGTACTAGGTTTGTTGACAGGGTGCAGATTCTTCTAGTCAAACACTTGTAGCTTAAAAATTACCCTTCGGCCAAATTGTTACCTATGAGTGAAGAACATAACAATTTCTAATAGCAAACCAGATTTTATTCTTGGGTCATAACTTACTGCTATAAGCAAGTGAAGTAGAAATGAGGCATAAGTGAGGGGGGTAGGTGCAGAGTTCAGCAGCTGTCTATCCTGTTCATCCTGTGAAGCCTGCTTCATTCCTTCTGCAAGCCTTTTTGCGAGATGGTCAGTTTTATAGATAACTATTTTCTTTGTCTTGTCATCTTTGTCTAAAAAAGTAATTAATCTTGCTTCCATGACTTTCTCTCAGTCTGAATCTCTTGCTCCATACTTTGAAGCTGACTTCACTTACTGATAACTATCGGTCAAAAGTAAATGTCTTGTATACAGTTTTGTGACAGGTCTCGCAGTTTTTCAGTTTATCAAGAACTCAGCTAACTCATATTGCTACAAATATTAAAAATATTAAAACAAGATATTCCTAGACATGAACAGTAAAACAAGAACAATCCATCCCTAAAATAAATTAAAGGGTTCAGTTCAAAATTCCTTGAAGCTTACTCAGATTAACAAACACTTGAAAAATGTCGGGGAACACAATGATCGAAATGTTGTGATAACAACAAAGATAAGGAAATTAATCCAAATGTAAATTATGTATATAATTAATCTTAGAATTGATTTAATGTTAAGCAGTTGTCATAAAGTTGGCTTGGATAATAAAAAAATATTTTCGGAAATCTTGAATTTTATCATAAATTAGGCTTATTGATTCAGGTCAGTTTTTTATAGATTCTAGTGTGCATTAGAATCTATTTTAACACACAAAGTTGGAGGAAATAAATATTTGTACACCATGAAATTTTTTAATTAATATAGTTATAACTTATGAAAAAACTTGAAATCCATACAATATTTCTACACCATTGCATAATGCTGCAATATGCAAAAAACAATTAAAAAACTGTTATAAATGAAATTATGTGTTAATATAAAATTTTGAGACAAAAAAGTATTCATACAAAATATGTCTTTAATATCAAAAGGCTTAAATTACCTTTATTTACATAATTCTTTGTAAGATTTTGCTAGATTCTTCCAATTATCTTATTACCAGAATAATCTAGAACATTCCACAATTCATTTCTAATATAAGGTTAAAAATCACAAATCATACACAATAATTATCATCATTGGGAAAGGCAAGGAACTATCAAATTCACAAAAAGAAATGATCGTCAAACATTAGAAGGAAGGCAAAAGCTATAGGAAAATAGCAGATATCCTAAATATATCATTTGTTATTATTAGTTTTATCAGTGCTAGGTATAAAAAGGTGAAAACTGTTGAGAAAAAAATCGAGATATGGTGCACCACACAAGATTTCTCCCAGATCAATGACAAGAATTCAGCACAAAATTCAAGAAAATCCAATGATTACTCAGAGAGAAATACAGGAAGAATTAAAAGCATTAGGTATTACTGTTACAAGGCAACAATAAACAATGAACTTCACAGAAGTCAACTAAGATTGCGGTCTCCAAGAAAATCTCCACTACTATTGAAGAAACATAGGGATGCATAATTAAAATTTGTTTGTGAGCATAAGAATAAACCTGAATCATTTTGGGAAAGTGTTTTATGGACAGATTAAGCAAACCTTGAATTATTTGGGTGTAATTTAAGGACTCGCGTTTGGAGAAAAGATGGCACAGCCTTTACACCAAAGAACACAATCCCAATGGTGAAATTTGGTGGTGGAAAAATCATGGTTTGAAGATGCTTTTCTGCTAACGATACAGGTAATTTAGAGATAATAGATGGTAGAATGAATTCAAAAATATACCAAGGAGTTTTTGAGTCTAATTGTTTGGTCAGTAGTAAAGCTTGGACTCTCAAATGCAACAAGATAATGACCCTAAACATATGGCTAAATCTACAAAAAAATGGCTTATTGAAAACAATGTCAATACACTTGAATGGCCATCAGAGTCTTCAGACTTAAATCAAATAGAGAATTTGTGGTGTTTATTAATAATTCAAGTTTATAAAAGAGCCCAGAAAAACATCCTGGACCTAAAGAGAATATGCAAAGAAGAATGGAGTAAAATACCAACAGAAACTTGCAAATCATTGATTAAAAGCTACAGAAAGAGACTTATTGCTGTTGAATTGAGTAAGGGACATGCTACAAAGTATTAAATAGGTATTATAATATTGTACAAATACTTTTTTGCCTCCAAACTTTTTAATTTCATTAATATAACAAATTTTTCTGATTTTTTTTTTTTGCATATTACAGCATTATGGCATGCTATACAAATATTGTATGGATTACAAAATTCTTTTATAAAATCTAACTATGCTAAATAAAAAAATTCATGGTGTACAAATATTTCTCCCCCACCTCCTGTACTGTGTATTTCATGGCATATAGTGTACATAGGTAAAAAAAAAATATTACCTTATTTTGGCCAAGGAAGGCTAGAGAGCTGAACAGTTGAAACATTGTGATAATAACAACAAAGATCAAGATATTAGTCCAAATGTAAATATTGTAAATAAAAGTAGTAATTTTTATTTTCATCTTAAATTAACTAAACCTAAAGAATGTTTAAAAGCTATGTGTATTCTATAAACATATGTTAATCAGAGATAAATATAGATAAAAGAATTTTAAGTAAAAAGTAAACTAAATTACCTATATTCGAATGTGGCATTATGTCTTCAGATCTTCGGACTGAGTTCTTGAACACTGTGTCTTTAGGTCCAGGCAATATGGAGTAAGGATTGTTGATGTGATAGCGCTGTGGGTGGGGCTCTGTAAAAAGTTGTTTTGGAGTCTGACCAAACTCCATTATTTGTGTCTCGTAGCTGTTTCTTTCATTCACATCATCAATGCTGGTTAAAAATAAATAAATATATTTTGAAATTGTATAAATTATTTCGTAAGTAGTTTCTGATATTAAAAAAGTGGAAGCTTTCCAATGCAAATTAAAGTTTTCTTACATATATGTGTGTGTGTGTATGTATGTATGTATGTGTGTGTGTGAGAGACAGAGAGCATACAAAGGAGCACACACAAAAGAAATAGAGAGTACATCAATCAGCTAAGTCACAAATTTTATATTTCTTTCTTATATATATATATTATATATATATATATATATATATATATATATATATATATATATATATATATATATATATAAATAAAAGGAGAAATATTTGTATAAACAAACAACATATTTCTAAGCCCAAATTTACACAAAAATAAAAAAGCCAACATAAATACTTACTGTTCTACATTTACAGAGCCTTCATATGTTAGATAATAGAAAACTGTAAAGAAAAAAAATCAATGATATAAGAAGGAAAATAAATCCAATTCACATTATAAAAATTATAAACTCTAATGTGTGTGTGTGTGTGTGTTTAACTGAAGACCAATGAAAGTTCTCGAAGATTTTATTTCTGTTTTTTTCTTTGGTTCGGAGGCTTTACCTGGCATCTAGGAAGAATTTGAACAAAGTTTCTAATGTCTTCTGAATGCTTTTGGTTGAGATAAGCCATTATCAAACAACTTTTTAAGGGTTGATAGGGTTGTGCCTATAGTTATGCATTGTGCTTTTTTTTCATTGTTTTCAAATGTCACATCTTCATGCTTTGGCGGGTGCTGTTTTTTTTGTATGTATCTCATCTTCACGTGTCAGTTTGCTGTGTTATCTCTTGAAATTAACAGAGTCCATCATTTATATGGGGAAGGGAGGAGGAGGGGAGAAAGGGACCATACAATTTCCCATTTTTGAGGACTGAGTATAGAATTTCTCCATACGATCATTCATTAAAACAAAAAAAAACTTGCAAAATATTACTTGTCTACAAAATATACATAAAAGGATTGCGATCAATATATATTTTTATTCTGTATCTGAGCAGCAAACTCTTTTAGGAAGAGGCAGCTGAAGTTTCTGGGACACATAATGAGGAAGAAGGGCCTGGAGAATCTGATACTGACAGGTTGAATAGAGGGGAAAAAGAGACAAGTGAAAGAAGTGCATGACATGTGATGAACTTAAGCAAGTAGATGACAGAATGTGGTCTGGGGGAGAAAACAGAGGGAAGGAACTTGTTGAGAGCTGCAAGGGATAGAGGGAGGTGGAGCGCCATGATCGCCGACACCCTGAAAGGACATGGCACATAAAAAAGAAAGAATCTCTTTTATACAAGTTTTGTTCAAAGACAACTGATTAAGATTTTTATTTAATTTTTCTTGCGTTCATACAAGTAATTTCTTTTCTGGACACAAAAAGCTGTCCAAACCTTGACAATGGCTAAAAGAATAGCTGAAAGGACTCGGATATGCAGAACTTTTAGACAGTTTTTACACACTTTGTGTCCAGAAAAGTAAAAATAAAATAAAAAGCTTAATCACAGTGCATTGTCTGTAGTCTTTAACAAAATTTGTGTGTATGTATGCAGTGTGTAACATTTTTTTTTTTTAATTGCCTTTTTATATTTTTGTATAAACATACACACAATAATGATGCATTGGCTGCTAATTTCTCTTCCTTCCCCACTACTATTTCTTATGGATTATACACCTGATGAAATCTGAAGAATGAATAGGCTAAGCTGTGGTAGCATCATAAAGATTTCAACTGTCTGAACAAAACTTACAAAGATTAATGAAACAAGAATTTTTTTTTTAAAATAAGAGACAACAAAAAATGTCAAATTTACCATTATCAGCAGCTTCTGCTTCGTAACCTGTTTGTTTGTAGCCAAATATTAGGTCAATCCAGTGGTGTAGATGACGTGAAACCCAGTCACATTCTAATGCAGCAGCCATCTTCTGAATAAAATCTTTAGGGTCTAGTCATAAAAAAACCCCAAAAAAACATGTAAAATTTATTAAGTAAATAAGCATTTAAAACCATGAAACAAAAACATTTACCCAGACAGATTCTAAGACACATTGCCACTTCCCTATTCTAAATCTTCCCACCAAATTTTGTTTTTGTGGTCAAAATCAAAAGTTAATTGAAAATACTGAACCAAAATGATTCATATTGAAAGTACTCAGAATTCAAGTATTTTAAAATTTTGCTAAATAATAAATATATATATATATATATATATATATATATATATATATATATATATATATATATATATTTTCCACATTTCTCTTAATGCAAATGAAGGCAGGGAAAAAGGCAGATTTACACAAAAAAAAAAAAAAAAAAAAAAAAAATCACTGCAGATGAACAAGCATATTCAGCTTTTGGGGGATCCACAAATTTGTTGTCACTTTACCTTGTAGGCAACTACATTCTCATGACAAAATGAATAAAGCAAATGCATTATAATGAAAATTACTAAGATTCTGGTAATTTTAAGGCATTATTTTAAGCTGAACCTCAAAGCAACTGAAGCTGCAGAATTCAAGAAGTGGAAGGAAATGAAAAAAATATCTAACCATACTGCCTAGAAATGGTGACTTTGAAATAAATCATAGTGATCCACCAGCAGTTACTGATAATCATTTAAAACACAAGGTAAAAAAGAACCCAGCCATCAACACTTGAAAACTTTCAGGAGAGCTTGCAGCATCAAAAAATACCATTCATAAAACCATTAATTTTGTTAAAAAAATGCCTACACACAGGAAAGCTCTTATGAGCTAATATGCAACCCTATGAATCTAAAAATGAATATAACTTTACTACACACTAATTCATTCAATTCATGATGAGTTTTAGAAATGAGTTTATTACAACTGATACACTGTATGGTTTATGATGAATGGTGCTATGACTAGGAGTTTTTATAATCTTCATATTATTACTCAAAGAGGGGCAGAAAGAAAAAGAACACCCACCTTTTGCCCAGGGAGGAAGTTCTACATCTCCAACAGGCCGCCCATTTTGCCGTACACCAAAATTTATGTTCTGAAAAAAACAAAACAAAAAAAAAACAACAAATAAATAAAAAAGAAATATTTTTCATATTTTACCTACACATTTAAATCACTACATTTCATGATGTAGGCAATCTTGACTCCCAACAGATTCCCTATCTTTATTATCTGGAAATTGCCATAACATGGTGGAGTGGTTTCACATTCAATAATAATAATAATCTCCTAGTCTGACTGACACCCAAGGCTAGAGAGCCCAGTCTGCCCAGCTATTTAACCTAAGGAAGGTCAGAGGGCACAACAGCCGAAACATGATAACAGAAACAAAGAAGAGGACAATAGTCCCAAGTGGATGCTTCCCAGTCACTACAATCTTAACCTGTTCAAGTCTAGGGTTAACCATTATCATCTTCAGTGCACCTCTTACTCTGGAAGCCTCTACACCTCAAGTGGTTTTTGGGACTTGTACAGGATGAACATAAAATTTTTGTAAAAAAAATAAAAAATATAATAATAATAATAATAATAATAATAATGATATGTAAATGGTTTGAGCATCTTCATATTTTTTTAGTTAATATACAAAGAATCAATTATTATGCTCATGGAATAAGATTCTTTGAAGTCATTAATAAAGGCTTTGTACTTTAAAACTTTCACAAGAGGAGAACATGATTTCTAAAATGAAACTTCAGGAACACAGCTAGACAGATTTTTTTTCATAAAATTCAATACAGAACAAGTCATAATAATTATTTTTTATTATTTAGAATTAAATAACTGTATAAGAAAACAAAAACTTGTTTAGAGCAACAACTTGTTGCACAATGGTAATGATAATTAATATTAGCAGTTTCTTTATAAGGAAACATTTGCCATTCATTGGAACATATTAATTTCACGAGTTACTAAATGAAACCCTTATTAAACATGCATAAAAGCTACTATCAATGAAACATCTTGCAAAAAGATTACTTTAAATAAAACTGTTAAATTTTGTTATCAGGGATGAAGCAGTTCTAGAAATTTTAATGAAAACTGTACACAGCCACATCAATTTCAAAACATTCAGTGTTATATGTAAAATACTGAGGATTGTACTTAACATGTAGACAGTAACTGCTTTTTAATTCAATAATTAAAAAAATTCAATAGAATATATTCACTCAACAGGCTCTAAATGACAAAAATCAAGAATAAAAATGCTTAACCTACTTGTCTATTGACAAGAAACTCTCCTTCTCCTTCATAAAATTCTGGAATCAATTCTTTGAAATCAGAAGCACCATGTAGACAATTATACCAACTTTCTGCAATACTAGAAGAAAATAAATGTATGGTAATTTAAAATAACATGACAACATATTCTAGTAAAAGTACAATCAATTCAGGCAATAAAGTTAAGATTAGATTAAATTAAAAATCAATATAAAAGTTAAAATTTAAGTTAACAGTTAAATTTAAAAATTAAAAATTTCTAATGTCAAATTCTAAAGTTAACCGAGCAACAAGTTTAATATTATTTCAAGATTATTCAGGAATTAAACTAGGAGAAAAAATATATTTTATTGTTCTTAGCGAAGTGCCAATTTATCAGTTAAGTTTGACACTGATGAAAAAAGTATCTCTGATCACTACACATATTTGATACATTGTGCTGGTATTAGTATTATTATAATTATTATCATCTATTATACATCTGTAATAAACAATTTTCTAACACTAATCCACTTAGTAAAATATTTACTAAAAACACACTCAAATTAAGCTTTTGCTGTGTGGACAACCTCAAGAAAATCATTAAAAAACACAATAAAGTCTTCAACAAATATAAAAATTTGAAAAGCAAGACATATAGCAATGGTGCAGTAAATGATAATAATTATAATAATACTAATACCAGCAGATGTAACTGTAGAAATTCCAATGATTACCCACTACAAAATAATTGCTTAGCTACTTTTATGGTTTATTTTAGTACTATTTCTACATTTGAAAACCCAAGTATTAAAAAATTCTTCATTGGAAGTACTAAAAACTCGTTTAAAACCAGATGGTATCAACATGTATTATCCTTCAACAATAGTACTTATAAAAATAGTACTTCATAGGTTATGTAACAAAGTTTTCCTTACTGAGGGGAGTTGGTTGGCTTTTGAACTCTTAAAACCTTTTATTTTCCATTCAACATCATCACTTGACAAGACACCAGAAGTATTGAAACAAAATATCAAATTTGTAGTGATTTTATAAAAATACATGTTATAAATTTGAATAGATATTAGCTCTACTCAGTATTGAGCACTCTCTTAAGAACTGTGTTTTTGGTTATTGGAATTTTATTGTATGTGTACCAACCCTTATTATATATATATATATATTATATTTTATGGGAAAGAAATATGACAAACTGTAAAAAATTTTTGTGTGAGGCATTTCGTCATTTAGGATTGCATTGAACTAAGTTTATATTGATGTGACTATACATGTACACAAACAAAAGAGATACCGAGAATTTTAAATTTAAAAATACCTTCATTTTTTTATTTTTAATGTGTGTTTAGGGTATATAACGTAACCAGTTTCATTTAGATTCTTTTAGTTTATGTTTCCATCATTTTTTTTATATAAATTGTAGGCCTCCATCAGTCAGAATTGACCAAGGGTGGCATCCTAGTTGTCTGCTTGGCTGGATCATCAATGTCTGTGACAGTAGAGGTCGATGCAGGAGTGACAATCCCTGTTGCAGAGGTCACATGTGTGTTCTGCCTCTGGTCTGTTGGAGCTGTCCCTTTGCTTTCTGCAGGCCCACATTTCCATGGCAACTCACGTCAGCTTCTCCTACCCTGACTTGAGGTGTTTGGTCAGGGTTTCTCTCCATTTGGATTGTATGGCTGCCAGGCTCTCCCAAGACTGTGTTGATATCCACAGCTTTCATGTCACACCTCACGACATTGCAGTAGAGTAACTGCGGCTGCCCAGTGGGTCCCCTTCCAGAGGCCAGCTCTCCATACAGGATGTCTTTGAGGATGCGGCCATCTGGTGGACATGTCCTAACCAACGGAGTCTGTGCTGTCTGTGCTGTCTGAGCAGTGCGAACATGCTGGGCAGACCTGCTCAAGACAGGACCTCAATGTTGGGCACCTTGTCTTGCCACGCTATTCCCAGAATATATATGTGTGTGTGTGTGTGTGTGTGTGTAAAATTTAAAATAAAGTATATCTGTAAAAGGACAATATTAATAAAGACAAAAGGAAAACTTATCTTAGCCAACTTGTCTCATCCTCTGAGGAATTTTATCAAGAAAATCCAAGAATTTTATTTTTTTTAAATTTATGTACCTCAGAGGGCAAAACATGTTGGCTATGATAAGTTTCCTTTTCTTTCTCATATATATATATATATATTTATTGAATTAAAAATAATTGTTGTAAACAACTATCAAGCACTTTATTGCAGAAATTCAGTTCCCCTTGATATATATTGAATTATATAATTTTACACATACCAATATATAGCAGCATTATTATTTTTTATAAGACTTTTTTTTCAAAAAGTAAAATAAAATTTTAATAACAATTACAGAAAAATAAATGTAAAATATTTTTTTACGTTTATAATTTAATAACTTTGGAATCATTTTTTTTGCTTCCATTATCAAGATAAATAACCACATCAAGTTTTCATTTTAGATGTATATATCAAGCTTACCTATTAAACATTCGGTCAGGCTGATCAAAACGTCCTCCATGTAGACACAAAGAATATTCTAAAGCTAAAAGTAAAAAAAAAATTGAGATGGATTGTTAATTTGATAGCAATTAATATCTAAACTAATTCTATAAAATTCAAAGAGGCTTAAGAGAAATCAAAGATTATACTGAAATTAAAAAAGAATAAATTTAAAAATCAATAAAAATAAACTATTATACAATATACCAAATTTAAAAAAAAAAAAAAGAAAAGAAAAATCTGTCTTTTTGCCAAGAGTTACCGCCTTTATAGTGGGGAATTTATCTCTTTAAAGACTTCTGTGTGTAAACCTAATGACAGTAAAGACTTGACAAAATATCAGTTGCATCTGTTCCATCATTTTTGATTACTTCTGTAAACTAGTATAGATAAAAGATTCTACTGGAGATAAAGTGGGGGGGATTTGCTTTCATTGTTATGAACTGGTCCTCCAAAAATACTACATATTAATATAATTGGCAAAATACTTATATGTGGAAACTTAACTATAGTAAGGACTTAAGATATAATATCATTTTTTTGTTTTAATGGTAGGTTTCAATATTAATGCTACAAGCAGCTGACTTACAATTTTTTTTTCATCTCTTGCAGGACATACATCAGGATACATTCTTATATATATTAGAATGTATAATAGAATTTTCAAAATTTTGATTAAAAATATTGTTTTTTTTTTTGTATGGGAAATTTTAGCATCTTTTTGCAGTGAAAAACACATTGAAATGGAAATTTTTTCAAAGTTCAGATAATTGTCAGATTTTAATGAAACTTTCAGGACTTAGTATGTTTAAAATATTTTACACTTTTTAAGATTACTGGGCAGTTAAAAAATTATCTTAAAAAAGATGTTTACATTGTATTCATCATGCAATTTATTACAGCTATCTCCTGTTGATAAATATGATATGATTTTATATAAACATCATAAAAATTTACTTCTTTGTTAAAAAATGCTTTTCTGTTATTTTAAACGAAAAGTGAAATAATATTTGTTTAAAATCAGATTAATTAAATTTTAACAAATTTTTGTCAAATAATATTTAAAAAAAGTATGTTTTATTTTTTAAAGATTTTTAATGAAAAGAATTAAGTTGTGTTGGTAGATTTATCAATATGGATAATTTTATTGATTTTACTGATAATCAGAAAAAAACAATAATTACAATCAATTTAAATTCAGTTGGAAATACAGTAATGTATTTTGCTTATTGGAAAAATTAAATTTAAATCTCTCAGCTTGAAATTAAGACTAAAATAAAAGCTTCAAGCAAGATTTTCCACTTTTAAAATGCATTTTAAACTTTAGGAATTGCTTTTTTAGGAGATAGTTATATGATTTTGTGGTGTTATTGTTTCATGTAAATATTAAACAGCATGGACACAGATCTGCAAGTCTGATGAGAGCAGCTAAAAGCCAAAATTGCAATGAATTCTGATTAGAAAAGTTCAGAAATTAAGAAACTTACCAACTCTGGATAGATAAAAAAGCACATAACAAGGCGTTGAGTAGTGGGACCCGTACAAAAATTTTGGCTCTGACATTTCATCATACCTTTCCTGAGAAATGAAGAAATATAGACTATTAATACCTTTAAAAACTCCAGTTTACCTCTTAAAAAAATTGAATATAAAATGCTATAGTTGACAGTCTATCCAAAGTACAATTTAGCTTAGTTTCTTTGTAGCACAACCATCAATGCTAATCTCTTAGCTATTACCAATGCATTTGCATAATTTTTTTTTTTCAAGAACAGCTTATTAAGTTTGGTAAGTATATTTTATTAATACAGAAAGTAAAATTATTTAGTTTTAAACAGATGCTAATTAATTTATAAATTTATACATGTTTGATAAAAAAAAATAATCAATTGTCAATAACATGGTTTAAATCCTACACTACTATCATCTTTCCACAATTTTCTATAGTAAGGCATTTGTATTCTACATATAGTAGTTCTATTCTGCCAATAATGCTTGCACATTAATTCCTGACTACTGACAATACCTCCCACTACCCAACATAGTTTGAATGATGAAAATTGCTGAAGCAGAAACTGTAAAATTCAGTGATTAAAACATTTCTTTGTTAGTGCCAAAACAAAAGATAAGCAGAGGATCATAGCATCATTGTGGACTCCACAATTTTTTGGGATAGTGACAGAAAACTCCACAACTTACCCTCAATTTAGATAATCTTTCGGAATTTAAAGCTCCAATTGGTTTACTTAGATCCCGGAAAGTAGACTCTTTGGTTAAATCTGTAGTGAAAAGAAAGAACAATTCACATCATCAAATGTATCTGAAAATGCAAGAGTTTATTCAGTATCTATGTCCTTCATGATTGGACACAATATTTTCAATAACTGATATTAATCAAGACTTAATAAAAAAACAGTGGTAGGAAGACAAGATTTATAGGTCTAAAGAAATCTTTTGAAATGCTATCAAATTAGCAGAGGAAAATACAAGAGGATGCTAAAATATTCACAACTTGGTTGATTTCCTAAAATCTGACCAAATGACCATGTAACAAAGGAATTGCCAAGAGAAGGCGTTGTTTGTTCACCATGAAAAGAATTTGCGTGGTAACATGCATTATTTGTAGCTATAAGCAGAAGTGATTTTTTTGCGATTTGAACTTGAGCCAGTTGAGGTTGATTTATCTGAGTAGAATGAACACATAAGAGACAAGCCAGGATGTTAGGAGAGTGACACGATTTGCATGTCTATATGCAAATTTAAACCAAACACCCAGATAGAGTACTTTGCAATACAATAAAAGAATGAATGAGATTGATGCTGAAGAGAGAGGAAAAAGGAATTCTTAACAGTGTTTTTAAGGACAGCCAGTGCAGGCAGGAAACTGAGACAAGCAACCAAATTTAATTTCTTTTTTCTTTGCAGTACTTTCTTTTTTACTTCAGACCAAACACCAGAAATTCTTTTTGAGAATCCCTTATTGGTAAAACCAAGATCTTTTAAGCATCTTCTTGTAGTAAGGTGCTTTCCCAAAAATCCAGGGAACTTAAAGCACAAAATGGCTTTCTCAAAGATAATAAACAAAATGATAGCAAATAAGGTTTTACTTATTCAATTGTACAATAATTTTGAGATATATATGAAACTAGCGTTGCTCGGGGATGTAACAGTAAGAGATAGATCAAGTATCGACCATCATAAAAACTGAAAAATAAAATTGACAAAGATTATTGTTTAACGTTGACGGACATGCATGTTTTAATTAGTTTTTTTTTTTTTGTTTTTTTACGAATTGGTCAAACCCAAACTCAAACAAAAACATTGTTTTCATTCGTTATGAGTCTACCAATTGAATAGAATTTTATTATAAACAATTGTCTTGTAAAAGGAATTTTTAAAACATTCTGAATGTAAAAATAAAGGCAAAAGTGTGCAAGACAATAAGAAACACTACCTGCCCCCCCCCAAGTGAAGTTTTGTTGAAATCGGTTGAAAAATGTAGGAAATCTGATCCCATATATAAACGAACACACACAAACAACCTGGGTTTTATAATAAGTATAACTTGATATGAGTTGTCCCCCTTTCATTCTCGCAATGCCTCTTAATCGTGTTTTCAAATTGATTTCGTGCAAAACCAATTGTGTTTTCCAATTTTTGGCACTGTCAGAACCACTGCAAGGTAATTTTACATAGTCCTGTGAAGTTTTGTTGAAATCGGTTGAAAAGTGTAGGAAGTCCAATCAAATATATAAACGTACAGACACATGCACACACAATCTGCGTTTTATAATAAGTAAGATGTCCAGCAATACACAGATAGGAAAGGCTAGATAGTATGAGAGATGAACAGATTTAGTAATTTGTATCAAATTCTTACAAGTTGTTGCTGCTATTAGTACTATTCTGATTATTTAAGATAATGAGAAATACTCATATCTCAAGTTGTCAACTATGAATAGAATGAAGCAAGTGGCAAAAGATGTTGATACAGTTAATGAAAACAAACTTAATGAATTATGTAGTCAATGCTCAATAAAAAAAAAACATTGTGGATTGTATAAAAAGATGCTGAATATGTATTTTAATACAAAAGAAGTGTTCTTTATCTTAAAATATCAGATTAAAAACAAAATAAAAACATTAAATAAATCAACTTTATAAAAAAATAAAATTCTCATTAAAATTCTTGGTTTTTCCCTCTTATTTCAGTAATTAAATTTTTTCTGTCAATTCATTTTTCATGAAAAAAATTTTCATTATCATCACCCCTATGGCCAAAGATAAGTCACAGGATCTCTGTACAGTGGAACATCTACCTAGTTCCATCTACATATCTGGGTTGAAAGCCAAAGAAGTATTCCTATATGCATACCATGACTTTGGCAAATAAACCTGGCAGAGCCCACCCCTCTCCAGATCAAACCACAGTCAATGTCCTTCAACTTGAAGGCTCACCTTGATCATAGACATGAGGCCATTGATTCTATTGGGAGAAGCCAACACCCTAGCCATTGACTTAAGTCTGGGCGGCCCAACTGCTGTGTCATCACTGCACTGGCTGCATACAGAGCTATGAAATACAATATATCCATTGTAATAGCTATTGATCCTACAAGAAAGTTCATCTTCCTTTTGACAGGTTTTGTTTTTATTCCTGCTGGGCGTTTAGCCACTCTCCTCACCAGAAAAGCCTGGTTGGGAAACTATTTTAAAAGTTATTTAAAGCATTTTCTGAACAAAGTAAGAAAAACTGAAATTAAATTTACCAAGTTTTTGACTGTGGTGATCAGCAATGACCCATGGCATCACAGGATATTGGGTTAAGTCATTATAACTGCGATCAGCCATTCTGTAATACAAAAAAACCAAAAAAAATTAAACACTGAAAATGTCAAATTACAGAGGTGCTCAGATGTTGAAACAATACCTTAAAACTGTTTATTTATTTAGTATTTGTACTGATAAAGTACTAAAAGCTTATTATATACTAGCATAATATCTATAAAAATACAGAATTATTTGTACCATTTCATTTACATTTCTTTGTTGAATATTTTAAAAGTTAGATGTTGTTTTAGATTCTCTGACACTTTGCCTTTTGCTCTCAATAATGAACATCTTTCAAATCTTTCAGGCTCATAAAATCTTAATTTTAAATCAGTAGGTTAGGAGTTTAATATATATATATATATATATATATATATATATATACATACATACATGCATACGTACACACACACATATATATATATATATGTATATATATATACACACACATACATGTGTGTGCATGTGTGAGTGTGCGTGTGATAAATATATAGTTTTATGGTATGTTATAGTTATGAGTTAAAGTGCTCAATATCAGACATAGAGTGTATGTAAATATAAAAGTGGATACCAAGGTCAACACCCAGTGGCCTGAAGATTTCACTTAAGCATGAAGCAGACTGCCACTGCATATATATATATATATATATATATATAAAATCAAAAACTATTTGAAAAAGTTTCAGTTATAAAAATTAAAGTTCTTATAGATTTTTAAGTGACATCTGTCTTGTTAAAATATATTAAGAATTCAAAGAAAATATTAAAATTAGTTTTTGTTTACAAAACAAAAAAAATAAAAATAAAATGTTCTTTTTGGATGTAGACAGTCATGACTCTCCACAACTTCATGTCTTTTGTTGCTCTGTCATCATTTTGTCCCCGTCTTGCTATCCATTCATTCAAACTCATTATGTAGTGTACTTGCTGTTTCTCCTTAGTCATCTGAGTGTTAAATTCTCAGTTGTCTCTTTATGATTTTAAGTATCAGTTTTTCCTTTTAGTCCCTATTTTCCTTAAAAGTTCCTCATTGCATACATGTGTCATTAAAATAATTACATGCACAAATTTATCATTCCAAAGTTAATTTTATCTGAGTATTTCAGCAGCAGTGTATTGGTATGTTCAAGTCAGTTGTTCAAATCAGGGTAGGGTTTACTTAATTTTATATAACTGCTTTAGTGTAACAAAACCAATGAACAAAAAGTGACATTGCCTTTTATACAAAATAAACTTATTCTTATCAATAAGGCTTGCATTAATTCTTGACCACTGACAATCCACCCACCAAATTTTCAATGCATTTCTATAATAAAAGCATTAGTGAGACATTACATTTACATATTTTGTTTTTCCATTTTATCATTCTATGTCTCTATACCATTGATTCATTCATTCATTTTCTAAGGATAAACCATTGCAGGTTATTTAAAGCCAGAATTTTTTTTTTTTTTTGAAGATAAGGATTTAGTGATACCAGTCTTACTAATTAATCTATATTTGGGGAGGGAGAAGAGGTGGATTTATACCTTGCCCAAGGATATTTGTACATAAATGAATATAATGACCCAATTGGAATTGGAACTCAGCTCTCTGATTAACAATTTCAAGCCATTATCCATTACACTACCCAGTACTCCCAAGTGGTCACCTATCTAGGTAATGAGTAAATTTGATGTTTCTTAACTTCAGTGATTGTATAAGAACTGAGGTTTCAAATTACAAATAATCAATAGTGCATTTAATAAATAGTTCCCATATTATCACAAGTTGTATAAACAATTATGATTTCTTTTGGAAAATATTAATTCTGATTATATTAGGATTTATAGCTTAAAAAACAACATATTGAAAAGAAACCGCTCAGATACAAAAATGAAACTCACCTGTTCAAATAAAGTAAGTAATCGAAGTTGGAAATAAGGCCTGTTTGCCATTTTAAGATCATATTCTCTTGCTCAAGATCCTCCATGTCAACATCTAATAACATATAAAAGTAAGAAAAGGTGGTGAGATATGTTGAAGCATGTAGCAGAAATAAGAAAACTATTTCATAAAACTTGATCACTGACAGTACCTCTCCAACAATTTTCAATGCATTTCTATAGCAAGACATTTGCATTATACACATAGTATTACCATTTATACTCACATATCATGCAACCATTAAAGACCTAATTTTAAAGCTAATTTGACTACAGTAAATGGATATATAGTGTGGCCAATGGCATAGTCAGGGTGTGCAGTACATAGGCTAATTTTCTATCTCATGTATGATGCAACCCCCTTAAAATTAGCTTAAAAATTAGGTCTTCAAAAGTCACATGATAGATGAATATATACAGTACTTTGTTAGTAATTCTTGTATTAATTCCTATGCACTGACAATCCATTTTTTTAATGCACACTGAGTGCTGAAACATGTTAAAAAAAAATATAAGACAATTGACTAAGATGTGTTACCTGCATAGGACACAATGCTGTCATACAATTCATCCCGCTCAGACTGGGATTTAAGAGTTAGATAAAGATGACGTACTGATGCTCTTTCTGTGCACAAAATCTCCAAACCCTGCAATAAATAATATTAAATTGAGTATAAATATTTCATATTTGCAATTTAAAGTTATATTAACAAGAAGATCTGTGAGAGAAAACAATGTTTTGAATAAATGTTAAAATCCTAAGAAATATAATCTGTTTTAAATTAAAATTGTTGAATTAAACCCTTTATACACCTAACACAGTGTAATTTTATTAAAGCATCTGATATTTTAATGTTGGATATTATAACATTTACTAAACTACTATTTTCAAGGCCCACCTTTTGATAATACTGAATTAAGATTAGGAGTTAGGGCTACAAGATATATAACAGAATTTGATCTAGCATGAAATTTCTATGGGCATTTGTAATATTACAGTCCCAATTTACCAACCACTCATCACAACTACCAACTGTAAATTAACTGTCATTGCTACTTACCAAATTACTGGAATGTTAGCATTTCAACTGTGACACCGGAGTTCAAACCTCAACATGATGATTAGTTGAGGTTAACTTTTTGTTAATATAATCTTGGAGAGATGATCCTAATAAGTGGCATTATTGGGAAATGCCTAAAAAACATACCACAGATTGACAAAAGCTTTGTGAGTGAAATTATGTTCACAAATCTGTTTGGAAGCCATCCATTCTTTTTTTTTTTATTTAAGTACATTGTTGTTTATACAATACAAAAACCAAGAACCAGTCAAGGTAGAGGGTTACTGAAGAAGGCTGTTGTAAGAACATAAAAGGAGGAAGTAAAAAGTGTGTATTATGAGGATAAGTGGGATAGATAATGGTTACACATAACACCCATTTCCCAGTAGGCTGGTCACTTGAGATGTATTGTCCAAAAAAATATATTTAAAAAAAACAAAAAAACACTAATCCACAGTATGCTACAGGCAGAAATAGCACAACATTAATTGCCACCTACCGAAGCAAACTTATTAAAGGGAGACAATTCAGACTCAACTTTCACAAATAAATATATTATTCAACATTATAAAAAACTGGTTATATTTGCTATCTAAATGAACGAGGATAAGATATAAATTAATTCAGGTATATAAGATTGACGTTAACTAATTTTGCAACTCCTATGATACTTTGTCAGTAGCAGATTACATAAACAAGTTGGTACCCATGAGTTTAGGGAATTTGATCAGGAACAAAAAAGTATTTAACATTTAATTTCCAACATCTTTTTTCCAATATGATTGATCACACAGATTCACAAACTACAGCTGCAAAAGTCTATACTAGATTGATATATGCTGTTTTGTGCCTCAACTCATGTGTACCTGCATACACATAAATTTCAATAATATAGGACACACTCACCACTTGTCGGAGAAGGAAGCGTCGTTTGACCACCTGGTGAATGTGTTTCAATTGGATTTTCAATGAAGACATCTATCAAAAATAGAAAAGATATCACTGATTCATAGGAGAAAAAATAAGAAAGAAATTCAAATGATCAAAAATAAATTATGTCAATTATGTTTATTTCAGTTAGTTGCTTTTGCAATTTCAGTAGCAAGGAAGTTATCTACTGAAGTTACGAAGATATAAACCAATGTTCAGGTTTTGAATTCAGATCTGTCCTACTAGACTGGTAGCCAAACAAAACCAGAGTACCCAGTCTGCCCTGCTGTTTTATTGATATTTGAGAGGAGAAGAGGAGATGGATTCAGTTCTTCCCCAAGGGTATTAGTGTGAAGTAAACAGATTTGATGTGGAACCATAATAGGCAGTATGAGTCATGAGTGTCTGAGCTAGCTTGAGTAGATGAGAAACAAGTTGTTTAAGCTGGACTTTGAACTTGGCTGTCTCCATTTTCCATGCTCTGAAGTCATTCACTATCAGATACTTTTTCTACATGAGGTACTACATTGAGATATCCAATTTTAATGCTTTTTTTATGTAAATTCACAAGTTTAAGATTAGGTAGTTAAGGAAGACACATCTACCAGTTATTAATAGCCAAAATGTGTATGATTTGGGTAGGGGATGTCATATACAGTGGTAAACCAATAAGTCCTACCTGTCATGTCACAAACTGAATTAAATTTTGATCAAATTTGATAACATAAAAATTTGACTTGACTTAAATTATGATATTTATTTAGAAATGTAAAAATGGATTTGTTCTTGATAAGATTTTTGATAATTATTATGGTTAGATTACTGCAAAATATTTTCTGGAATCTCTTCATAATTTTTAATATAGTTTAATGAGGAAAATTTACAAAACAAAAAACTGTTTTCTTACTCTCCTTGCGAAATCAGTTTCCCAATAAATTTAATTATAGTCTTTTTGATTTTCAGATTAAAAAAAAAATGTATACTTGTGGATCTGACAGTTACTTTAAAATCTTTGATCTTTATTCTGGTATTGAAATGTTTAAGAAGAAAACGGAACATTAAATGAAGTTAGTCAATGTCTATTTTACACGTTTTTACGCTTATCTCCCTTTAATAACTTTTTTTTAAAATTTAATGTGAGGGAGGTATTGTATATGGTGAACTGAATTTATTCAATTTCAATTAACATTATGAAGTTCTTAATTATTGAAATAAACTTTTATTCGCTAACTACTTCAGATTGTTATTTCAAAAATAATCTATCGTCATTTTAAAAATATCTAATAGAGTTAGGAGGAAAAATCATTTCAATTCCACTTAAAAAAAAAAAAAAAAAAAAAAATTAAAATAATTTTTTTATTTTCTTGCATCCAGGAAGAGTTTATTGTTTTTATTTTTTTTTTTCTTTAACAATAATTTTCTATCTGAATTTTTTTTAAATAAACAAGTATTTTGTGGCTTCAGATGTAACAATATCAATAAATCAGTAGCTTAATAATGAAAAAAAGCACTTATTTTACAAATATTTTTCATCTTTCCCGTCAATGTATTTAACATAGTGAATATTAATCATTTTACAGTGAAAATTTTGGATCTAATTTCAACTAATAACTACATATCAAGCAATCTATCCTTGTATTTATTTATTAATTCCATGCAGGAAATTAATGGATTAAAAATTACAAAAAATAAAGTACATAACAAATATACTGGAAAACAGCTTTCCAATTATTCCAAGATTTGCTTGGATAACATTCTTTATGCTGCTGATGTTTGCAATCAAAAGAATCAACCAAAAAAATTCATAATATCAGCAACAAATTTTATTTTAGTTGTCTGAATAAATTTTGGTTGAGTCATTTTTTTATAGCTTAACACTTTACAGGTTATTTAAACCCAGAAAATATTTTTAGATTGTAGGAATTTTTTGGGGGACGATAATGATTTAGTGATACCAGTCTTAATTTCATCTCTCTCTCTCATGTGCATATGTAATCAGATCAACATAAACATCACTTTAGTTCAATGAAGTCCAAAAGGATGAAATGTGTTACAAGGAAACGTTTTTCCACTTTGTCAGATTTTTATAAAATTATTATATAATAATTTATTCAAATAGGTCTCATAGTTTTTTTGTTTTTTTTTATCACAATTTTAGCAACCTGCTGGTAATTTCAAATAAATATGAATAAAGCTTTTAATTTGATATTCTCAGAAGGTTACTAAATAAGACAAGTCACCTGAAGAAGGCTGTAAGGTGTAACATTCAAAAGAGCATGACTTTATATAACCAAAATGAAAACACTATTCTGTAGTAAGAATAACTTATCGCTGAAATTCACACAAAAATTAGAAAATTTCACTTAAAATATAAAAGTTCTTTTTTTACATTTATCTGATGTTTTTTTTACATCTTACTTATAAAAGGAAGAGACAACAGAAAACAATTTGGTCAAGCTAGAAAAGATTTTCAATGAATTCAAGACCAAGTAAAGAAAAAACCACATACTGGGCCTGTAGCACTAAAGGGTTGAAAATAAAGGCGAGCATCGGTAAGTACAACACGACCAGGAGTGGTCACTAAAGGTGTTATACGTTCAGCTTGTTTCTCTATCACACGTTTTTCATGGAAGTCTTCAAGGCTGAAAAGCAAAGACAAGATTAAAATATCTATTTTAATAGAATTTAATGTACATTTCATAAGTAAAATACAACACTTGTCCACAAAATAGTCTGAATAAAATTACACAACTGAGGTTCTTTTCAAATGAGATATTTCTATATCCTAAAATGAGTTAAATAGCAGAGAAAACTCATCTCTTTTGACTTGGTTGGCACCTGGTCAGGGAGAAAGAGAGAACTGAATTCAAAACCATTTGGGCTTGGAGATGGCAACACTTCTGTGTAGAAATCAACTTGCTACAGGAACTACAGCTGTAATGCCTATCATGTTGAGACTGTGGCCTCTATTCTTCACAAGGGAGTCTAATGGCACTGAAGAGGAATTTCATATATATATATATATATATATATATATCATAACAACAAAATATCTCAAGGAAGATAAGGATGCAAAGTCACATTATATCTGATATTATAGTATAGAATAGATTATTTTCATTTTTGTTACTATTAGCATAATGTTTTAGATAATCACAACAATGACTTTTTACATTTTATCTATTTAATATTTATTCAGTCTGTAGAAAAAAAAACTTTAATTAAAACAATGAGAATTGCTTATATATTAGATTGAGTCAGAAGTAATTTCTGTTTTAGAGAACCAATTGTAATGAAGAATATATAATCTTAATTACTAATCATACATGGGAGTTAAGAATAAATTTGCAGTACACTAATACACCTTAGTTTTTGCACAGCAATGGCAACATACACAGTGGATTAAGAGAATAATGTTATTGTCCTCCATGATAACATAAAGCCACATACAACAAGAATAACACATGAAATAATTTTTGAACTCAGTTGGTCTGTTCTATCCAACCCATTTTTTTTTTAATTTCAAAGAGAGAGAGATTGCAATGAACTGGAAGAAAGATTTCACCTTTAAAAAAAGATAAAAAAATAATAGATGTCACTGAGTGATAAGAAATTGCAAAAACAGTCAAACAGATCACAAAACATGTCTTCATTAGCAATATATAAACATGTTTTTGCTGCCTACTTACATTGAGTGTACAAAGTTTTCAGCATTTCTGTACCACCTCAGAGCACATTGATTCTATTACTATAATTTCCATTATGACACACAAAATCATTAATGATTTTACTATGATGATAAAACTATATCATTTTAAAAGAATAAAAAGAAACCCAAGGTCAAGATTCCAATAGCTCAATAGTAAGTTTGTAATATACTTGAAATATAGTCCTTTTTGAAGTTCTTAAACATTTAATGATTTTCTATCAAAATAAAAAAAAAATCAGCTGAAAATTGAGAAGCCATTATCTAATAATGAGTGTATTTTTCTAGGCAGACCTTGTAAAGTAGAAAATTGATGACTTAATCCTATAATAGAAATTTGGCAGTTGTAGGTATTTTCTTTTTCAAAGGCTAAAAGGACAAGATAAAAATCAACTCATTGAGAGAAAAGTTTCTTTTTAACATAGGGACAAATACTTGTCCCTATCACTGAGAACCCTTGTCATCATCTTAATTCTCCTTAATATTTACATCTGTAACATTAAAATTGGATAGGTAGATATTAAAATAAACTAAAAATAATGTTCTTGACAGCTATCTTAACTTTAGCTATATATGGTTGCTTGCTAGGCTTGTTTTATAGAAAGGGCAATATTTTAAACAATGTCCAATAATTATTATCATCATCATCCTCTTTGGAAATTCCAAGATTCACTTTTTTGTAGAGACATGAAGTATTTTTTTTTTAATAATTTCACCCCAAGCAAGGCAATAATGCCACTAGTACACACAAATCTACAGGGAGTGAAAGAAAATGTGAAGAGAAGTGAAGAAAAGGACAATAAAAGAACAGGAATCAGAACAAAAGATGGCAATTGACATTGCATTAAAATCTTTGAAGATTTTAGGTGGCAAGGAAATCCGGAAGAAGTTCCAAAGGCAAGAAGTGCAGGAAAAGAAGCTGTTAGAATAGAAGAAATGGTTGCATCTAGATAGTTCAACAGTAAAATGGTGAGACCTAGTTGCCAATCTAGTAGAACACTTAAATTAATGCAGTCAAGGTACTAAGGGAAAAAAAAGCTCACCAAAACAGTTGTCATGAGAATATTTGTAGAAAAGACATGGCTAAGCTACATCATGACAGAAAGTGAGTGAAACTGCCAGGACAGGATTGATTACATTACAGACCCTACTTTGAATTTTGTCAAGAATCTAAAAATATATGGTAGGAGCACAAGACCAAATACGGCAATAGCATTCAATGCATGAAGAGAGTTTCCCAAGTACAAGAGAAGATAAAACTTATGGTTACAACTAGCAATTGCAACATTGAAATTATAATACCTAGCTGTCTTGCATTTAGATTTGTGAAGTCAAGGTACCAATGAGGAAAGCCCATCAGAAGAATTACTATGAAAATATTTATAGAAGAGGAAAAGAGAAGCTATGTTTTGGTGGTTGGAAAGTGACTGAAGGTGAGATGTCAGGTCAGGATCAATAATGTTGCCAATTCTTTGGATTTTGTCAGAAATGTCTAGATTCTAAACAGAAGCACCAGACCAGATATGGCAGCAATAAAGATCACTTGCTACCAGATTAGCCTTCCTTTATCCAAAAGAACATGTTGTTGTCCACTTATTGGTTACTTGCACATACATGAACATGTTTCTTAACAAAATAAATCTTTAACACTTATAAAGTTTGTGTCCTTTAACAATTTCTAGTTCATAAAACATCAATTGAAAGAGTTTACTTTCTAATTCAATGTATGTTCTTGAAAGTGGACCAATTCTAAGATACAAACATGAGACTTCAAAACAGGGTTTCTGCAGAGTATAAAAAATGGAACTCACTCCAACACTGAATTGTGGAATGTATGTTCCACTATAGATTGCATCACATTACAATCTTTTCTCAACACTTGCTAGCAACAGACTGCCTGTTATTTCAAACAAATCCTTAAATACCCACAGAACTCATGAATATCCATCAGCTGATAGTATTATAATGATTGTACTTGCAAACTTTTTCACATTGCAAATAGCAGCCTACATGAAGTAAAGTATTATGCTTCTTTAACTTCAAGTAATTCATTACAATGTAATAATGTAAAATTTCATGTGAAAATTACTCAACTGCTTCATAATACAAAGAAAATTACACAAATACTTGAAATGGTCTTGAAAAAGAAAGTCATAAATTAAGTTATTTTGAAAAACAGTTAAAAGATATGTTTCTTACCAAGAAGCATCAAACATAATACGTGATTGTCTTGCCAGCACAATCGTGTTGATCTGTAAATGCAAATAATATATAAATTAAGAAATGTTCAGTTAATATTTAAAAAAAAAAAAAAAAAAAAAAAAAGGAAAAAAAATGTGCACCTTCTTTAACATTTAGCACTCTACATCATCTTTAAATGAATCTTACTGTATATAAAATCCCCTCAAAATATGGTGTTTTATATATCAGCTCTATATATTTGAAATTGTAGTAGCCTGGCTCTCAATTTCAGTCAAGATTGTTTTAGGTGTTGCCATAGAAAGATATGATGATGCAACCAAGAAATTCAAATTCAACTTGCATTGGCAGGACTAACATTTTGCTTCGCAAAAATAGTCACCTACAGAGTACTAAAGGTTAATATTTAAAAAAATAATAAAATTAAGCCTCTTCTTTTTGTAATATGTTAACCATTTATCAAAGAAACTTTATATGAATTCTAATTTAGAAAAATTATCAATACTTTTGTATGATTTTCTTTTTCATTGGTCAATGGATCAGACATTGTCTTTTTATTTTTTTCTGAAACTTAACAAATAAGTTTTGTTGAAAATATGTATTTATTGAGGTTTTATATTTATTCTAGTTTAATAGAATAAAAAGCATTTTATACATACATTACAGTTCAAAAGTTTGAAGCCACCCCCAGAATTAGTGTGGGATGAACTTGACAGAAGAACAAAAAAAAAAAATGAAAAAGAGCTCTTAGAGTCTAGAGTCATTAAAAAAAGAATGGAATCAATTATCAAACTTATACTTTGAGAAACATTTGCAACAAATGCCAAAACTTTGTGCAACAGTAATCAAGACCAAAGGAGGATATTTTGATGAGAGCAAAATTTAATCATAAAATGCTTTTTTTCTTTTTGTCATAAAAAAATTTCTAATAAAAAAAACTACGTCCCACTTTTTTTTTTAACAATGTATAATAATTTTCTCTTATTTAAAGTACACAACAACTACTTTTGGGGCCAATTTAAAAAATTACCAGGAGTGGCCTCAAACTTTTGAACTGTGGCACATGTATATTTTGTATTTATTCTAAAATAAACTTGTGTTCATATGACCAACCAATGATTCTGTGTGTATGTGCTCATTGAAAGATAAATAGTTGAATTAATATATAGTGCCAGGTGGTTTCACTGCTGCTGATGAATTTCATACAGAGCTTGAAATTATGATTATTATACTTTTTTTTATTTTATTTTTTTTTTTATTAGGTATGGTGTATTGCAATGTTACCATGTAAGAAGAAATTAATTTCTATAAGACAAGATACCATTTAAAAAAATAAAAAAATAAAATAAAAAATAAAAAAATAAAATAAAATAAAAAATAAAAAAATAAAAAAAAAATAAAAAAATTTGCGTCCTGGCCTTTGGATTTTAGATGGGAAAAGGTATCTGGTCCCAGGGATTCCAACCCTGCCACAACACCTTCCTCTCACTAAAAGAGGTGGGGCCAATGTAATATCAACACCAGCATGACAGTGGTCACTGGGCAATTTTTGTCCTTGGCTCATAAGCATGCATATAGGAACCACACATAAAAATGACTTAGTGCCATATCCTGCCTTAGTGAGGAGGTTGGGAAAATAATATCCACCATCAAGAAGAGAAGTTGAAATAGTGTGGACACGCCATTCTATAAAATACCACCTTAGGCAAAAGAAGAGGCTGACAGAGGAAAACAAATGGGTTGACAATGTCACTGAGTAGATCAAAAGATCATTCATAGAGACTCAGACACTGGCACACAACCAAGACATATGGAGGGAGAGTTGATCAGGTGCTCAGCAGAGCAGCAACTCAACAACCCAGTAATGGGACTGATGATGCTGCGTCTGATAGCAGCTGTATTAAGTTACAGTCAGCGCCATCTGTCTAACTCTCTGCATTAGCGGGAGGAACCCGGATGAAGCTTTGCCAAAGGGCAAGGTTTCGTTCAGGGAGGTCGACAGTTCTCGAGACCGCCTAGGCGGGTTCGAAGGCCATATTTTTGGCCGGGCATACGGGCTCGGATGACCCACAATAAGCTCGGCCTTGTGCCACATGCAATCCCACGTGGGGGGATAGCCGAATATCGCTGCTGATAGCAGCATATATTCATTTTGAACAGCTAGTATCAATCATTATCCAATGTGTGTATTAATTGGGATAAAGTCCAAATGTATGTGTGCAAGGACATTAAATATTACAAAAAAGTCAATCCATAAATCTAATTTATAGAGACAGGAAACCATTTATTATTGTCATCAAAATCAGCCAGACCTCAAATAATTATTATAAATAGTCATCATAAGAAATTTGTGTCTCATATTTACCATTGCTGCCTGCTCTATTTTATCCAATGTTGAAGCACGATGTAGTTGAGCAATCTGAGGTAAACAGGAATTCACAGTTGTGTATACAAGACTGAAGATGTGTTCACCTTCACCCTATCAAGAAAAAGAAAAAAATGAAAAAGAGAAATTATTTTTTATTATAATCAATGGTTTACACATATATTTAGAGATGAACTAGTTAACAGAAAACAAATTTAGAACCTTGAAATAAAATTACCTGCCACTTTATCCAGATTGTTTAAATCTAACAATATGTATGCAATAGGTAATCAAATAGGAGAAAGGATCAAAGCTATAACCATTTCCATTACAACCTAAACACTCTGATAAGTGAATAGTATTCTTTATTATCTTAATCTCAATGATATGAAAGGCACCATGACTTCACAATCATTATTTCTTGTTTCTAGTGGTTTCATCTTACGTCCAATTAGATCTGCATGAGCCAAAGTTTCAAGTTCATTCCTTCAGAAAAGACAAATGCTGTTTCCAGATTGCATGACAAAATTCATACTTTCTGTTATAGAATCTTTTTTCTTTTGTGTTTTTTTTTTTTTTTAATTATATCACACTTGTACATCTATGGAAGAAGACATGGCCAAGGAGGTACAAAGATGCCATCAAAGCAGATGAACTGAAAATAAGTGAGTTAAAGAATAAAGGTGGAAGTAAATAAAAAAAGAAAAAAATAAAAAAAAAAGATAAAAGAAAATAATTAGATGATTTTTCCCTGTGAGGATAGAATGCACTGAATTCAATTTTAAGTTATTTGCACCAAAACATTTGGTACCTGATTTCAGGAGAAATATTACCCAGAAAAATTGTTTCTGCACATTTAGTACATCTTTAATACAATAATTATGATCTTTCTTCCCAATCAGTGAATGATTATTAATATGATTTCATATCTTATGCATGTTTCCAGAGTGACTTCAAAACCATCCAATGTTTTAATAATAAACCCATTAGTTTAGAAAAGTTTACATATGTAGTTCTTGAACTTTTCTTCTCCACTGTCCCTTTTTAGATATTTGTGCAAGCTGATGCTCCCATGTTAAAATTGCATTGGTAGAGGCACTTAGTGGAACAGAGTTAATGTCAGGTGTTTGTTTTGTTGAATTATAGCAGTGCCAATCACCAAAAGTAAGCTGTGGCAGGAATAGTTAAACAGCAGTCATTGTGCCAAACCACAGAACCTGACAGACTGTAGCTCGCAGGTTTTTTGTGCTATACATATATTGCAATTGCAGCTAAAAGCTTAAAATACATTTGAAAATGTAAATATATAAGCATAAAAATAAATGTGTATATAAAAAAATCCTGTGCACAAACCAGAGTTAAAAGAGATAAAGTGTCTTACTATCCTCTTCAAATTATAGCCCTCCACCCCAACCACACTGAACATTTAATGCCCCCCCCCAAACAGTTTATAATATTTTGAGTTACCCCACTTGGCTCTGCCAAAAACACCTGTTAGATGGCACTATTTAAGTCTATAAAAAAGCAAGCATATTCTTTCTCTTTCCCTTTTTCCTCTTAATCCAAGATGTAGTCAAACATAGATAATGCTACTGCTGGAGCATGTTCACTTCTTTGGCCTTCTGTTGACTGAACTCTAACACACAAGCACATGTCACTTGTTACAAACACACAAAAAACACTTTCTTAAAAGCTAATTTTAATGTCTTTTCCTTTGATTTCCATTGCATACACATATAATTCCTTTCGTTAATAACATGCATTAATTGCCATTTGTTATAAATTCCATGTTTTGTGGTTTTTCTTTTTACCCAGACTCACATGAATCCTCGAATATTGCTTGCAGGACAAATGTTCCAAGAGGCCATAAATATTTTTCTCAAAATCGTCGACGCCTTGCAAACAAAAAGGTGAATCCCACAACAGTATCTCCATGGTAGTATTACTACCCACATTGAGTATCAATTGGCTTAGGTTGACCAATACTTATCCAAAAGTTTTTGAAAAATAATGTAAATCACTAATCGTGTTCATTTACATATCTAATTGGATATTATTCAATTAAATTCTACTTAAAGTTTTTAGCCTGCCCACTATCCCTTTGTACTATAGGTTAGTTTTTCCTTATCAAAATTTCTCATCAATTTGTTGTTGAATGCATTCCACACCTTTTTTCTTCCCATTTTTCACTCGGATGGAAATGGTGAAATGGAAATGGCACATTGAAAAAGAGAATTGTTTTCCTGAGTAAGAAAATTGTCTGGTAATTTTGCAGCTTGAGAGTTCCTTGTCTGGTAAGTGGTTCCCAACAAAATCCAAAATACAGAGAAAAAAAAATTTAAATAAAAAGTAGAATCATTCTTTCATGTTAGAATAAAGAACTTAACTGAAAACTGTTATAAAAGGTCAGCAATACAGGAAAAAATATCTGGATGAGTGATTAATGATATGATTTTATATGAATAAAAAGATTTTTTTTATTTACATTATTTGTATTTGTCCTCATTATTGTTATTATCGCAATATTTCAGCCATTGCACCCTCCCTTTAAAATGTGTTAACACAAAAATGAGGACATTAGTCCAAATTTAAATAATAAAAGATTTTGTTTAAAAAAAAAAAAAAAAAGGGAAAGAAATTACCTTGACATACACATAAGGTGAGACAATATTCCTTTCCTTGATTTTCACCACCAGATTGCATTCGATAAAAAATGACTTTCCTTGTATATCAATCCTACAAGGATTAAAAAGAAAATTCAAAAGAAATTGAAGAAACATTATGCTGAAATTAAAATTAACAATAAGTGACAATGCATCTTGTAATAAAAATAAATTGAAGATAATTTTATTACTAATAGTGTGAATAAACACAATAACATATGGTGTCAAGCAATAAGGGAAGAATGGAGAATGAGTTTTAAGGATTAGTTTTAATCTGCTAGCCATAAAAGCTCTAGTGGCTCAATTAGTAGAACAGATGACAGAAAGAGATTTAAATATAAAAGGGATGTGAGTTCAAGTCTTGCCTGACCCATTTTTTATCTACCCTGTTTACTTACTATTATAAACTGATGATCTAAATTGCAATGAAAAAGCAACTAAAATTAAAATGAGAGAAATAATGCTTCATCTAAGAAATTAAATAATATTACAAGGGTGTTTATTTTTATCTCCATAACATGGAATTAAGATTTAGAGAGACAACATCCTGTTTAAAATTTCAGATATAGAAGACAAATTGAGAAAAACAAAATAATTCTGTTTATTCAAATAATTTTACAATAAATCCACTATAATAATAACATATGAAGTAATAAAAATGTCAGATTAAAATAAATTCATTAATTCTTTAAAAATCTTATAATTCTGCCTGTTGCTCCCTTAGCATGCCCGGCCAATACCTCATAAATAATGGACTATTCCAAGTGGTAAGATGGAAAAGACATATTAGAGATGCTACTTGGTTTCAGTGAGAAAATGAAAAAGAGATTCAGTGAAATGGAAAGTTTTCAATTTCAATCTTTTTATTTGTACCCTCTTCTTTAAATAAGGACCAACATTGCAATATTTTCTTAAACATATAATGATAGGGAATTTCTATGCATATTTTATTTTCATAGAACTTCCCATGATCTTACTTAATTATTAACTTAAGAATTAAGATTCATCAGAAAATTCAAATAGGAAAATCATGACATTTTCACAGGTACTTCTGTTACACCACATGTTTTATATATATATATATATATATATTTATATATATATATATATATATATATATATATATAATGATAATCAATCAGTGGATATTTCCAAAAGGATATAGATCCAGGGTGAGCTTTTAGGTCAGAAACAGAGTAATAATTAGTATCATAAAAATACGAACCCTCAAAAAGCCATGAGATTATATTTATTTCAATGGGGGTCAGAAAATTGACCTCAACTCTTCTCTTGTAATACAAAATCTATTTGTTTGTATTACAAGATATTTATATATATATATATATATATATATATATATATATATATATATATATATATATATAGATAGATAGATAGATAGACACACCACAGGGTGTGGCAGAAATATGTCCCACATAATGCTAAGACATTAGTAGAAATGAGGTCTTCATCCAGCTAATGTTTTACCATTATGTGGCAGGTACTTCTGCTGCACCTGTATAATCAGATGTGCTTAGATATCTAAACAATAAAAGATAAGTGTTACTTAATGTCAGTAACTATTAATAGTCAATTAAAAAATAATTAAGTAGGCAGCTGGAATAGAATTAGGATTAACAAATCTATTTGGCTGCCAAAGTAGCCTTTTCAGGCAAGAAAGATGGTTTTGACATTACTTCATGATGCATTAAGTTCCATGGTTATGAGATGTGGGTTCAAAGTTATTTTTCTTTGTCTTCAATCCCTGGAATTTAACTTGAGACTAAGAACAAGATCTCCTAAACAAAACAAAAAAAAAAAAAAACCAATAAACTATACTTACTTTGAAAAAAGATTTGCTTCACGTTCTCCCAATTTCTTAACATTCTTCAATGGAAACTAAAAGGAAAAAAAAAAAATAGTTTTTTCATTACAGACACAAAATTTTAATTTATTTTATTTGTTTATTTCAATTAGACCACATTCGACTTTAAATGCTATATATAAGGCAAGTCTTGAATTAATACTTCAAATAGGATTGGAACTTTGAGGATGAACCCAACATGTAATTGAATTTTGATCTAAAATCTTCACTGTATAATATTCAATCTATATTTTTAAGTGGATTCTTTAACTTTTTAAGAATTAAGTATTCTATTCAGGATGCACAGATAGCATAATGGTTATCAGCACAAAAAGTGCAGTGGGCAGGCAAAGTTCAAATTCTTACTTAGTCTGTTGCATTCACTTTCACACAAATGTCCTCTGGAAAGGCATGAACCTATATATTCTCCCCACAGTGAAATATCAAAATAGACTGGCTCTCTATAGCCAATCTAAGAGGTTAACTCTGAATACAAAATCATGCAGAAGTTAACAAAAAATCATTCCACTATCTTCCCAAGAAGTCATAATAATTTACAGATAATAAAGAAATACAATCTGGGGAGAGTCATGATCACTTATGTTCTGAAGAAAATTAGTATTTTGTTTCTTTAATTTACTCTATTCAAATCACAATCATAATCATAATAATAAAAAAATCAATTTTCCCAGTATAATAAATATTGGTGTGGGAACATCCCTGTATAATAGATATTTTAGAAAGTTTTTTTTATTTTTTATATTATACATCATAATAAATGAAAATAATAAATAAAATTTACCTTCAACAGTGAGTATTTTGTTTCTTTTGGTTCAAAGACAACTGATTTGGAACAAATCTTCAATTTGCCTCTTTGCTGCCTAAAAAGATAATATGAAATAAAAAAGTAACTTCTTCAGTCAAAAACACTTGTCTTCTTCAACTAAGTGTCAACTCATTGTCTATGTAACCTGTGAAATCATGAGTAGGATTTATTAAAACAAATATGTCAAAAGTTTTCATTCATACTGGTAGATATATATAACAGTAAATACTAAAAGCATTATGTATAAACGTGTAAAATTATATAAAAAGCACAAGGAATGTCTGTTGAGTCTTTTTTTAAAGTCTCTCTTGTGGTTGAATAAATTGTTTAACGTCAAGTGAAATTTATAAAGGAATTGGTGGAAATTATGTTGTGTTTGAAGTCCTTTTGATCATTGGATGTTTTCAAAGGTAGAAAAATAGAAAATAAAAATAGTGTACTGCTTGCACAACTTAAAAAATGTGGGTTCACATACTATGATTATGAAATAAAATTTAGTTTCACATGGTAAAAGTTCCAGGATATCTTCCTTTTCATCAAAAGGATGTAAGGGTACACATGCATGGCCTTGGAGTTTATATTCAGGAAGATGTCCCAATGGCAACGGAATTGTCCCTGGATGATTCTTTCATGTGCTTTCAAACTCATTATTACACTTGTTAGTATCTGTTTTTCCTTTACTGCTCCCTTCTTCTCAGGACTGTAGCATGGTAGCCAAAATATTTGACAATCTAGCTCTCTCTTTACATTCAGCTTTGAACATCTTTGTGTTTAACAATATAATGCTCATCACGTCAAGTGGCTTCACCATTCTAATACAACTGGTGTTGACAGTATTTAAACTTCCGTCAAATAGTTGACGTCCTTACTCATTTCCTTTATAATACTGTCCAACATGCCTTGTACTTACAAGATTTATTCCTTACCCTCTCTCCTGACTTGTCATGCTTTACAACTCTGTCCTCTTGGCAATTCAGACCAGGTTGTATTGTCTGTTAATATTTCCTTTGACTTATCTATTAGACATGAACCCCCTAATCACAAGACTTCTTTCCACTACCAACATAATGATTGAGATTCATTTTGCAGTTTTCTTCATGATATCAACTGGAGTTAAATTTTTAGTCTTCCTACTGAAAATTGTGCTTCTGAAGTTTCTTTTGTGGCAAAAAACCGGCATCAAGGTCTTTGTGCCTTCTCATATATATATAAGATAAAACCAAAATCTTCTCCTTTGTCATTGTTCACTGATAGAGTGAGGCGCTGTATAGCCTCTCACAAGTTCGGTTCTCAAAACTACTGGCAGCTTTGTAATAGTTTGTTAAATAAGGGTAAATCCCCCTTCTTGTGTTATAATCTGCTGATAAAGTAGAATGCTTTACATACAAATTCTCTTCCAATTCTACTCTTGATCCATCAGACGTCCCTTTACCTGACTTTCCACTTAGAACTGAGTCCCTACAATGTGATAGGCATATAACTCTGCCCATTGTTTCCACTATCATCTCTGCACATGATCCCTACAAAGCATATGGTTTTGATGGTATCCTTGCAATTGTCCTTAAGAAATGTACTCCCAAACGGGACCTTATTCTAAACAATAGATATTTTGCTGCTTGTTTTTCAGATTGTTGGAAATACTCTTCTGCAGTTCTTGTTTTTAAGAATTTCAGAGAAGCATCTGATTATTCAAACTATCAACCTATTAATCTTCTACCTCTCTTTGACAAAGTATTTGAGACTCTAATCAAATTTCAAATTGGTTAAGCATCTTGCCTTGCAGGGTCTTCTTCGAGACAAACAACATGGCTTCTCTAGATCAACAACCAAAGTGTTGCTTTTTTATATTATTTTTACTAATATTCACCCAATGCAAGGCCCAAAAGCTAATCAAGGAAGAGAGCTACTGAAAGATTTTTGTAGGAGTGTTAAGAGTAAGAGGTGCAGTTTATAAGAATATGTGGAAAAGATAATGATTAACCCTTGACTTCAAGAAGTTAGGATTGTAGAGGTCAAAAAAGCATCCTCTTGGGAGCCAGTCCACAAAGTAGCAGTTTATGTGAAGAAACTGTTTGAGTAGAACTTTCTAGATACTAATGAAATATGAAGGGAATGTGGATGGTTTACCTCAGTCTACATGGCATGGTGGGTCTTAGGTGGGTGAGTCAGAATTGGTGGAACTAAGGAATGTAACTCATCAGAACATTATCCATGGGAATAGAAATAGAGTAGTGAGGGGCTTGTAATGTTTTGTCTGAAGGAAAGAGGTTACAGGGTGGAATGTAATTCATCACAAACAAAGTCAATAGATGCCTTTAGACTATCAAGAGTGGAATGTGAAAACTGGGCAGCTCCAGCCCAGATAGGTCAGCAGTACTCCATTGTCGGTCTAATCTAGCTCTTGTAAAGGTAGAACATAGCAAGAGTCAGATACTTACTTGAAGTCTGGGGTGGGCTTAAGTTCCAATAGGTGTTCAAAGCAAGAGTACTCCTTAAGAGAACAAACATTCATTGTGATAGTTGAAAATTCAAGGTCTGCTCGATGATGATGGAATGTTACTAGTTGAGTTTTTGAGATACTGAATTTGACCAGCCAGTTTTTCCCTCCAACTGAGCTGTTAGAGCTAGGTCAGAGGTAAGATTAGCTGCCAAATTCTGGTCATCTAGATTTTTTGGAGGTTCATACCATATACCATTGGCATAGATATTCACTGAAGGTCAGAATATGCTATTAAGCAGTTTGTTAATATAAAGCAGAAAGTGGCTAGTACCAAGAAGCAAGCCTTGGGGAATGCATGCATAGATCTCATGGGCCTTGAAAAATTAGCCATGAACAACCACCTTCATGTTAAGAAGGAATGGGTGAAGGACATTCAAGCATGAACAAATTCAGCATTTGTTGGTACTGTTTGTATGGGATAAAACTTTCCATGCCAGAAAGAATCCATTCAAAAGTGTAGGAGACTGTTCTGGAAGCTTTATTTTTTTAAGAATGCTGAGAATAGAGCTTCCACAGTATAAGATCTGAATCTCTGTTAGTTTTGGTTTATCAGTAGATTGTCCTATAAAATGGGACATCATCGGATGCCTTTGGTTTGGCATAAATTCTGGCATAGATAAATGTGTGGTCTGAAGTGCCCAAGTGAGGTAACACTTCAGCAGAACATTAGAAGGAAGTGAGGAAGAGGTCTAGCAGGTTAGTATAACACCCAGCCATATCCGGAACACAAGTAGGCTTATTCACAATCTGAGTGAGCTTGCATACAATAGAGAAGTCATGATGGTATTTGCCTTTAGTAAATGAAGCATTCCTTGCGGTGAACACTGAAATCGCTACAAATATGAATGTTAGCTGAGGGAGTGATCAGAGAGGATATCATGTATTAATGCTTTAAAGAGAAATTTGATGATTAATGACCAAATTATCCAACTTTTTACCTAAAATTTAAGGAAATATGTTGATCCATTTAAATGTTGCACATTGAATATTGGAAAAAATAAATTAAACAGATTATTAATAGTCAGGACTTAATGTAAGTACTATTGACAGAATAGTGTTAAGTGTGCAATGTAAAAGCATTGCTAATAAATTTTCCATAGGATTGCAGTGAAAATCAAGAAATGATTTCAGTTTATTGTTGGCAGTTAGAAAAGAGTTATTATATAATACTCCACACATAGATGTATTTATTTTAAAATGATAAAAAAAATTACATTTTCTTTCTAGATCTTGTCAAAACAGCTAAATATTAATAAATCTGATCAGTATAAATGAACAATATCTGAATATCAGGTAAGTGACAAATATATGATTAAAACCAAATATCCAGTAAACATCATGGTGTTTGGAGTGATCACTAGTCATGGAGACTTTATGCCTCCGTTCATCTCCTCACAGTGTCTTAGATTCAAAACTAAGGCCTACAACAAGTACCTTGAGGAGGTAGTGCTGATCTGAAACAAGAGGGTGGCTGCTGGAAAACTATGCCAGGAAACACAACTCTGCATCACGTCACACAAGATTGAGAACCGTGTAATGCCCATCAGACAATTGCTGCGACCACATCAGCCCTTACATCTGGTCACCTAACTCCCCAGACTGCAACCCGCTTTATTATATGTGGGGTGCAGTCAAGCGTCACGAAGTGTTGCAGCAGATTCTGAGCTCGGTTGGAGGCCGTGGTTGAAGCCAATGGCGATTTTAGTGAATAAATTTTCTTTAGTAATATATATATATATATATATATATATATATATATATATATATATATATATATATATATATATATTGCTCAAAAGAATGGTTGACCAGAGTAGTTCTAGAATACAAGATTTTTAGGATAAGCAGTTTTTCTAATTATAGTGCTTGATATCAAGCACTGGAGCATTAATAAAAATAAATTTGTTCACTTATCTTGTCTATAAGCTTTACAAAATTATATCCATTCGTCAGGAGACAAATCACCTGAAGAGTGGATGATTCTGCAAAACTCTAAGTGGAGGCAAGTGAACAAATTTTATAAATAGAAAAATTGCTTACAAACTAAAGATACATACAATAGCATTTATTATTCCATGAATTATTGCAACTATTCAAGTGCTTTGTTGTACATATGGATAAACAAGTCATCAATAAAAGAAATAAAAAGTTCAAATTTTATGACTTCCAAGATATTAAATTTCCCAAGTTCAAATAATGTTTTTTCAACATTTACTTTTATAGCATGACAGGAGCATCAGGAAAAAATAGATACACACAATTTATTAAAAGTTTCTATCAAAACAAATTAATACAGAATTGTAAAAGATGTTAGAATTTGATCATGAATATGCTTTATACTTACTTATTTATAGCATCTGTTTCCGTTGATGATGGTGGATAGTAAATTACTGCAAATTCTTCAAAATAGATTTCTCCTGGCTCTAAGTCTAATGGAGAAAACCTACAAGAAAAACGAGAGATATTTTCAATCTTCTGATATTTTTATTTCCATAATTAATAAAAGTGGTTTTAGATTTCAACTGTTTTTTTGTTGCATTTATTATTACTATAGCATTTTGAATGATCCATTTTTGGGATCCCTTTGGTATAACACAGATATGGTAAGATGCAATGAAAAAAACAAAAATTGGCAAAAACAAATTTGATATCTTGAAGGCCTTTGACAAGGTGGAATATAGGGGATTGTTAGACAAACTCTCAAGCTATGGAATCTCTGGGAAAGTCTTCTCAATTATCAAGTCTTCATTGTCTGGTCTTTGAAGGTCATTGTTAAATGGCAAGCCCTCTAAGGGACTTGAGATCAATTCTGGCATCCCCCAAGGCTCTCTCCACAATCCTACTCTCTTCCTGCTTTATATTAACAATTTTCTTAAGAACATCCTCATATCTGTAGTAAATATATATGCAGATGATACCACGGTGTATGGTTGCATCTACAAATATCTGGATGACCAGTACATTGTAGCTGATCTCTCCTCTGGCCAAACTCTCACAGCTTAATTGGGGGAGATGTTGGCATTCAATACCTCTAAAACAAATGAACATTTCATCAACACTGAGCAAACCCCAACTGTTCTATCCTGTTAAGTGGTCATACTCTCAATGAAGTCCCTTCAAATGCCTATTGGGTTTAAATCTCACCTTAGACCTCAAATGGAACTTGTTTATTGGTGCCATTGCAAAAGTCTTTACAAGAGTCAGATCAGTTTAAAAATGGAGTATTGCTGACATATCTGGGCTGGTACTGCTCAGTACTCACTGTCCAGCCATTAAAGCAATTACACCACCTTGTGGGTGATGATCTATTTTCTACCCTGCAACCCATATCTCACCGAAGAAATGTTTCTAGCCTCTCACTTACTCTACCATTATTAGCATGGAGAATGTTCTAATGAGTTACAATCGTAAGCTCTCCAAGTTTAGAGTCAACAGTTATTTATTTTATATGACCTCATAATGTTCACTTCCTGCTTCTTTACAACAACAACATTCAGTAAGCCTCTACCTTGAGTGGCTCTTGGGCTTTGTATTTGGTAAACAATTAGTAAAGAAAACAATTCTTGGAATAATGGCTTACCTTAGAACTACCAAATGTATTTTGCTTTTATCTCATAATATTTATTCATATATATTATAAAAGTAAATAAATTACGGTACTGAATATCCCAATTTTGCAAAGTTTTTTTTTTTTTTTTTTTTTTTTATGAGGGGCTGTTTTCAGGAAAAAACATTTTTAGCATATAATATATATATATATATATATATAAATCTACTTAACGGTAAAATACTGCTAAATTAGTTATTTTCAGTAATCTTTTAACTCTAGGTTTTATGAAAATTAACCTAATCCTTCAAGATACTATGATTATAGGTATTATAATTTTATAGGTAAGATTAGAAATAAAAACATTAAAAAAAAACAAAGAAGACACCTTTTTATTTGCTCTCTCTTGCCAACAAATGATAAATCAAAGTTTGTTATCTTTTGACAAGAATCAAAATTTAATCCACAAACATTTTCCTGAGCTGTTCTGGATTATCCAGTTTGTCAGGCTAATAGAGCTCAAATAATAAGAAACCTACTAATTACAGCTATTTTATATCTTTATGGTATTAAGACTGTTAGTAACTTAAATACTTTCATTAAATTAATTGATCAACATTGACCAGATTTCACCATATATAACATTAACTTTATGAAAAGGAAGCAAGACATTTACACTACAATCAGACTATTGTCCTCATCTTTGTTATTATTTTCACAACATTCCATCCATTGCGCTCTCTGCTCCTTAAGTGCTTGTTGATTTGAGTAACCTTTAAGAAATTTTAAACTGAACCCTTCACTTCATCTACAGCAGTAGATTGTACTCATTCCACTCTCCATATCTAGTTTTGTTCTTATTCAGTACTCCTCAGTTAATGCTCACTGTTTCCACTGAGCCTAAGTTTGCACAGGACAATAGCCTAGTGGATTAAAGCATTGGTTCATGAATTTGGTGACATTGTAATTGTGAGTTCAATCCCTGGGGAGGTTAGTGCAGACAGACTGCAAGACAAGCAATAACTGAGCAGTACTGAATAAGAACAAGATACCACTAGACATGTACAGTGGAATGCACATAATCTGCACTATAGGTTAAATAAAAGATTCAGTTTTAAATTTCTTGAAGGATACTCAACTCAACAAGCACCTGAAGAAGGCTGGAGAGCACAACTGCCAAAATAATAGTAATAATCATAATCATAGTATAAATACTGATAATGCCTCATCCAAGAAACTCAGACAGAAATTAAGCAATACTTAGCTTTCATAAAGTGCAGTAATTTTTTAAAAATCTTAGCAGAGGTGGGGTGTGGATAACGAATGTACAATTTGATGATAAACTGTATGCACATTCTTACACAATTGTAGGATGAGCTGAATAGTTGTCCAGAATCATAATGTTGCAGTTTTCTGGCCGGCCTACAAATGTGCAATATGATCATTGATCTTCATAGACTAACATACAAATTTATTTATAAGGTTCAATCAATTTCATTTAAAATAATAAAATTCATTTTTGAATATTGATGCATATTTTTCTTTATAGTTAAAGTTACCATATGATATTAGACAACTTCAAAAATTTTCTTTAACTAGTAACTAATCTACTAAAAATTTATCTTGGTATATTGTTGCATTCCGTGAAAGCAAACTGATCTAACTCAACTAAATTTGAAAGTTGTCTTGAATACATCGTAACTTTAAATTCTCACAATAAAATTTTTATTGGATTCATATCCAGACTTATTGCAGGTCAAAGACATTGATCTTGTCTTCAAGCCAATTTTTCATCAGTATACTTGTTTGTTGAGAATGTTGGTTAAGTGAAACATTGCCTTCCAAACAAATAACTGGCAGAATCTTTCAGATTTTCCTTTAAAATATCACTATACTCTTTTTTCATGGTTCCAATGATTTTTAAATAAAAAGCCCATTCTATTCCAACTAAAACACTCTCAAAGCATAAGATTGCTCCCCCCCATGTTTTACACTAGGCATCGTGTTCCGAAGATTCATAGGCTTATTTTTTTCTCTATGCTCACTGCATCAGATTCAAACCAAACAATCTCCTCAATTCATAAAATCTAAGTTCCAAAAATGACTATCTCTTTCCAAATAAGCATATACAAATTCCAGCTGGACCTTATGATGATGATCAAAGGCATTTTCTTGGATGGTGACCACTGAGAACATTTTTTTGAACAGCCTGCTTACCTTATGACATGACACATTTACTTCATCGTTTGACAAATCAGAAAAATATCTTTCAGCCCAACTTTAAATTCTTTAAACATTCACAAAGAATCTTTTACAATCTTAGAGTTTGGGTTGACAGCCCCTCTCAAGAAAAGGGGCAACATTTTTTGTCTTACAATATTTCCCCCTATGTATAGTTGATTTGAGTACTGAAAACGGACTAGCTGCTGCTCTAAAATTCAGACTCAAATTGCAAAAGTTCATAATTAAATCCACAGACACTTTTGCCATGTTGGTGATACCCAGCTTGAAGTGAATAATATACATGCTTATTACAGCAAACCTAAGTTCTTTTAAAAATTTATAATTCACAAACACTGCCTGATAAACTAGCTCATCATAATATATTATACATATTTCATGAATAATTTTCAAGCATATGGATAATTTTGTTCTTGCTAATTTTTTAATGCGTTTATGTTGTAATGAATAAAAAGTTTCTGAAATGAATTATGACTAATGATTAAAATCATATTCTAATACATACACACATACACAGAGGAGGGGGATGCAAAAAGTAGGTATACAGTAATGAAAAGCAAAACGTGCACAAAAACTATATTGTATTAATTCTCTCACTTATCAAGTCACTACACTGCTCCCATCCAGTGTTATACACAGAGCCTTGCCTAGGGTGTTATGGTTTCAATGTTGTTAAGTGTGCATAAATCTTCAAGATTGGGGCAAACTAGATGATACTCTATAGTTTGTAATTGCCTGCATTGGCATCCAGGATCATCATTGGTAATAATATATCTTCATTTCTGCAGGATGGCTCTACAGTGACCAATAGCTGTTTGGAGGCAATTCAGGCAGGACCAGAAGGCATCACTGGAACTGGTGGGGAGGGATTCTGTAGGGCTGAGAGAGAGAAAGAGTGAGCAAGCTTCGTGTTCCACATTTTTAAGGTGGCTGCACCACAAGGACATGCTGACTAAGAGCTTTGTTATTCAGTTGTTTGACTGAATGTAGAAACCTATGTCTTGTCTTATGCCTCTTTGTCATTGGTTCACGGTCATAGAGTGGATAACAAGGGTCAGTTTCCTGCTTCAAATTCAAGTTGGAAGTGGACTGTTCTTCTGCTGTAAGGGAGAGAAATGCCACCAAGCAAGTAGAGGTCATCTATTTTGATTGGCTTGAAACAACCAGTGATTGATCTGCAAGAGGCATTTAAGGCAGGGTCAATTTTCTTTGTATGCGATGATTATATAAATATATCAATCCCTCAAATTTTCCAACTGTTTACCCCCTCCCCATCATTCCCATACTCCTCTTTACCTGCAAAACATTATTATTTATTGAAAAAAATTATAATAAATATATTAAAATAAAAATTATGAAAATAAAAATATTAAAAATGATTTTAATGAATTAAATGAATTCTAATATTAAACAAATCCTAGGACCACTGTTGTAATACTTGTATAATACTTACTGTATACCTACTTTTGCAGCTGCGAATATATATACTTATTTGTATAAAAACATCTGTTTCAATATTTGAGAAGTAAATTATTTCAAATGAAATTGATTGTACCATATGGATTATTTTGCACCTCACTGTTTAATTGTACCTGAAATAGGTCTAACATAGAAGTGAATATCATCTGGGAATCTCTGTTCAGGAAAACAAAAAA